CTGACCTAAATTGCAGGAGCTCAAGTAGGGAAAATGGGCAAAATCCTGATCAGCTTTCTGCTCACCCCTTCAGGATTTTCTTTTCTGTCCTCCTGTCACTCACTGTCCCACATACTTTGCCTTCTGAAAATTTTGAATGGCAAGCTAGAAAGTGTAATAGAAAGGGCACTGAGCCAAAAGTGAGATGGCAGCCATAGAATGCACCCATTCCTAGCCATACAATCTTGGCCAAGTTAATGGATTCCTCTGAGCCTCGGTTTTCTCATCTATAAAATGCGATTAATGATGTGAGCTATTCTGTAACCCTGCATAAGTGAAAATGCCTCACACAGAACTTTGACATGTAAAAGGTCTGCATTTAAATATTTCTTAGGCCTGAATGCTTAGCCTAGGAATCCATGATATTTGCAATTTTTGTCATTTTGTGGAATTAATATTTGAAATGTTAAACCTGAAAAAAAATACATCACTTTTCATTAATATTCTAGGAACTTAAGAAAGGACTTTTTTCTTTAGTACATCATTGTGTTGCTTTGACTATCACTGGCCCTGTCCCTCCATCTGAATCAGGGATTCCATTTTTACATTCCTTTCATCTGATACAATTGCCATGCACTACAGTGATTCCCAAGGTAATAGAATAACTGTCTTTCTCACTGGTTCTATTTTTTCTTTCTTCTCCTTTTTTCTTTTCCCCTTAATAACATAAAGCTTCTTTTTTTCCTTCCAGAAATAAGCGGCATCACCCCGTCAATGTTAAATTCTGGCAGAAACAGAGCCGCTAACATGGAGAGAAAAAAAAATTGGCAATAGCCAGGAGTGAAAAATTGCTAGAGCATTACTTAGTTGGGCTTCCCTGATAGCTCAGTTGGTAAAGAATCTGCCTGCAATGGAGGAGACCCCGGTTTGATTCCTGGATTAGGAAGATCCCCTGGAGAAGGGATAGGCTACTCACTCCAGTATTCTTGGGCTTCCCTTATGGTTCAGCTGGTAAAGAATCTGCCTGCAATGTGGGAGACCTGGGTTTAATCCTTGGGTTGGCAAGATCCCCTGGAGAAGGGAAAAGGCTACCCACTCCAGTAGTATAGCCTGGAGAATTCCATGGACTCTATAGTCCATGGGATCTCAAAGAGTCAGACACGACTGAGCGACTTTCACTTCACTACTTAGTTGTGTGTTTCAGGAATACAGGGCCCTCTGCATTATTGGCAGTGATTGTCTCTGTGGTCAATGCTTATTTCTAACATAATTTTCTTTTCCATGAGTGTAGCAGATTGATTGCATCGATGGCCCCAGTTCCCTTCCACTGCTTTTGCCCTGCCACTTTGCTGTTTCCTTCCTGCAAGAGATGGAGTCTATTAACCCATCTCTTGCTTTTGGACTTGGCCATGAGACTTGCTTTGATCTGAGGATGTTAGCAGTCATGATGCAAGTAGAAGCTTTTAAAAGTACTGATGTGTTTCTCCTAGTCCTTTTGGACCCCTGACATTACTGTGAAAATGTGCTCAGGCTAGCCTATTCAAGGTCTGTGAGAGGGATCCAAGCTAAGGCCATCCTAGATCATCTAGCTCCCATCAGCTCATCCATAGGCTTGTGAACAAAAATCTGTACTATTACTGTATGCCACCAAAGCTTGCTATTTGTTATGCAGCAATAGCTAACTGATACAGTAAATTTTGGAGCCTAGGGCCTAACCCATGACTTCTACAACTGAAATGGTGAAAAAATTCTTGTACCTCAAGCCCTACTGATACTATAGTTAACTGCCTGGAGAGGTAGTTTGAAATCACCATTCCAGGTAAGATGCCCTTTAATTGTTCCCTGAATACAACCTGTATATTCCTGCCTCAGTATCTTTGTACATTTTATTTCTCCCTAGGGAATGTCCTTTCTTCTCTTTTCTCTATTTGAATCATTCCAGATCTCCAAAGACCTAACATACACCACCTAGACCAGCCTTTTCTGAATGACCTCTGGCTGCCCCCTGCCTGCAGTGGTCTTGCCTGAGTCATAAAATGAATACCCAACACAGACTGCCTTCCATGGCTGCCATTTCTTATCTACAGTCCTTTATCAAACTAGATTCCAACTTCCTGAGGGCAGGACCCATTTTTTTTACCTCTTTTATCCCCCAAGCACTGCATAGTACCTTAAAAAGGAAAGCACAGGGCCTTTTAACTGAAGGTGTTAATATTTGTAGGTTGACATGGAGGAGGGTTGCTATTGTTTGGTGTCATTGCTAATGAATAAAACCAAAGGGAGATCACTGCGCTGTACACCTAAAGCTAGCACAGTGGTGGTGGTGCTGGTTGGTGGTTTAGTTGCCAAGCTGTGTCCGACTCTTGCAACTCCATGGCTCCTCTGTCCATGGGATTTCCCAGGCAAGAATACTAAAGTGAGTTGCTGTTTTCTTCTCCAGGGCATCTTCCTGACCCAGGGATTGAACCTAGGTCTTCTGCACTGTAGGCAGATTCTTTACTGACTGACCCACCAGGGAAGCTCAACTAATACAGTGTTGTGTGTCAATTATACCTCAATTTTTAAAAACCTGAAAAAAAGAAAAAAATTAAAATTAAAAAAGAAGTTAGAGGCTTCAAGGGCTTCCCCAGTGGCCCAGTAGTTAAGATTCCATGCTTCCACTACATGGGGCAGGGGTTCGATCCCTATTCAGGGAATTAGGATCCCACGTGCTGTGTGGCCTGGCCAATAAATAAATAACTTTTTAAAGTTATAGGCTTCCAGATGAAAGCTTGTAGGATCTTACCCTCAGTTCAGTTCTGTTGCTCAGCCGTGTTCGACTCTTTGTGACCCCATGAATCGCAGCACACCAGGCCTCCCTGTCCTTCACCAACTCCCGGAGTTTACTCAAACTCATGCCCATCGAGTTGGTGATGCCATCCAGCCATCTCATCCTCTGTCGTCCCCTTCTCCTCCTGCCCCCAATCCCTCCCAGCATCAGGGTCTTTTCCAATGAGTCAACTCTTCACATGAAGTGGCCAAAGTATTGGAGTTTCAGCTTCAGCATCAGTCCTTCCAATGAACACCCAGGACTGATTTCCTTTAGGATGGACTGGTTGGATCTTCTTGCAGTCCAAGGGACTCTCAAGAGTCTTCTCCAACACCACAGTTTAAAAGCATCAAATCTTACCCTACTCTACTCTAATTCCCCCTGGAAAAATAAATCATACAATGCTACCTTTTCCCTAAAGATTCATGACTTCCCATTCTCCTCAAATTAGATACATTCTTTCTCTCCTTCAGCTCTCCATGTCTCTTGCCGCCTGTATTTCTCCTAGTGGACCTCCCGGAATTTACCTTATGTGATAGCCAGTCGTGTTCTTTCCTATCCACCTGCACCAGGCTCCACCAGCAAAACTTCCTAAGATCAAAGGCTACACTTTTCCATATGTGTCTCTGGCACCTGGTAAGGTGCTTATCCTAAAGCAGATGCTCCGTGAAGTATTTCATGACCTCATCATCTCTCCTAGCTCTGTCTTTATGTTAAATGCCCTAATTCAGGCCCTTAGCATTGCTCCTGCAGAAAATTGCAAAAGGTTGTATCTGGCCTTCCTGCTTCCTCCCTCGCCTCCCTTCCTCATCTTGGTGTTCAGCTTAAAAGAAAAACATGACCAGGCCATTTTCCTACTTAAAAAACCAACCAACAAACAACCTCTTAATAGCTTCCCTTTTCTATAAGGTTAAGACCAATTTCTTAGGCCTGGCGTGCATGACCAACTCAGGTCTGTCCCAGCCCACCTCTATAGACCCTCTCCCTTCACTCCAGCCTTTAACTTTACTCCAACAAGAGGGCACAGCTGATGCATCACGGTCCATGCTGGATCTCCCCAACCCACCTCGGCACCCCCTTCCTCCCTGGTTGCCTCACGTGACCCAGCCGATCCTGACCCTCCCTCCCACCCACTCACTTCCCTGGACTGAGGTGCCCCATTGATTGTTGTGCTTGCAAAATTACCCTGTGGTTACCCGAGTAAGTGGAAGCTTCCTGAGAACAAAGACTTTGTATTGAGTTGGTCAAAAAGAAACATTTTGTCCAACCCAGTATGTGTAGCCCCTAACACACCCAGAAGATTTAAAAAAAAAAATCACTGGATAAATCAGTGGATGGTTGGAGCAGGAATCTGCTATAACTGTGGCCTGAAGCAGACCAGACCATCCCTGACGTATCTAAATAGAGGCTTGGTCTGGAGAACTAACATCCTTAGTGAGCTTGTCCCTTGTACAGTCTTGTCTTTGGGTACTAGGATTAATTTGGCCTGGATTCAGGGCCGTCCTTAGTGGCCAGGTCCACGCTGAGCAGCTGAAGTTTCCCTTAAATGTTCCTTGATATCCATTGGGCACTTCCTATGTACTAGATGTTGCTCTGAGCGCTTTCAGTGAATTAGTCCATTCAATTCTCACAGCAATCTTATGGGACGTACACAGTTAGTATCTCTGTTTTGTAGATGAGAGTTAGAAAATGTTAAGTAACTTTTCTAAGATCAGCTACTAAAAACAGAGTCTGTGTGCACACTCAGGCAGCCTGATTCTACAGCATGGCAGCATCACCGCCACCTCATGCTGCCCAGGTTCCTGTCTTCCAGGGGCTCTTTTCTCAACCCCTTCCCTCTCCCAAGATGGGAGACAAGGTGAGAGCTAAGAAGAGAAAATTTCTGCTTGATTGTTTTATTTATTGTTTGGTTAAATGCCCTCATCATTACCTAAATTGATACATATTTAGCCAGAAGGAAGCCATCTTTTCTTATTTGTATCTATATATTGTTAGCTGCCCATGAAGATAACTTTTCACACCTAATTTGAATGATTTTCAAAGAGCCATGTAAAGCAAACTGTATTGCCCTTTGCAGGCCATCTCTGCTTCTCAGTGGGCTGGAAACCGCACGAGTGCTTCCTCTTTATCTTTGTAGTGAGCGCGCAGCATTTGTCACACGGTGTCTGAGCAACTTCAGTGACACCACCAGGAAAGGTCTACACTGGTCCAAATGGCACGCTTCCCACATCTGGCATCATTTTTTCTCTTTCTGAGTAAGTGCCATAATTCTGTATGTTACTGTTGTCACGGGAACTAGTCAAACAGAGACTGTTGGGTGATAAAATGGGAGAGTTTGGTCTCTATGGGGAAAACAATGGCCCACATCTCTGGTGCTGGCAATCATTCTTGACTTTCGATGATGTTCTTGGCTACCTGAACAACCTTGAGTTCCAGGTGGTGCAATGTTTGGTTGAGTCCCATGAACCTCTGAGTCCCAGAGGTTTTTATACTTGTGTGTGTTACTAGATCTGCCAGTTTTGCTGGCCCTGCCTTCACCTTATTTTCTTGGGCTAACCCATTCCTGGAGATAGGATGAGGCTTAACTGTTCAGACTGACAGGGGATGCCTGATGAGAGCTTGTCTAGAGTAATGTACCTCGGGGATGTGGCTGGATGAAAGGCTTATGAGAGCACGTAATAGTTTTAGGCTAGCTTAAAAGACGGTTCTGAGTTCACCTGTGAGCTGAAGTGGGCGTTGACTACTGTGAAACTGAGAAGGTGGCAGGAAGAGTCACATGTCTCTGCTGAGAGCCATGTGGAAGGGCCTCCACGAGCCTAGGGGCACTTGTACATGGTTGAACAGGGTGGAAGAAGTAGAAATTTGGGGGTGGATGGAGAACAGATGAACTGGGAAGGGCATGAAATAGTTTCAGAGCAGACAGAGCAGGGAGCAGGTACTTTTTAGTGCTGTGGATTCATTTAGCATCTGGTGAAGCTCATCTTCACCCCCCTCTCAGAATAATTTTTAAATACATAAATTAAAACATATAAGATTATAGGGAAAAATAATCATATTGAAATGAAGTTATCAAAAATATTTTAAAATAAGTCATGATGTAGTAATTTATTTTCTTCTTTATGTATTCATTATATGATAAGATCTAGAAGTGGTCTATTAACCACCAAATTTCAATGTAGTAATGAGTGTGAACAATATTTCAAGACTCTGCAATAGATGTGATGTGGAAATATCTATGGTTTGTTGTCTACCTTCATAGCTGAAGAAAATACTGAATTTCCATTGAGGTTAGTGAAAAGAACGATGTAGGGTGTTTTTCCACCCAAGTTTACGAACGCTTTATTCCCCCATGTGGACTCCGGTTTAAAACTTCTGCTTTAGAGTGACTAGATGGAATTAGTGAAGGGATTTGGAAAACAGGGGAACTAAAAGAGCTTAGGATCAGAGTAACCAAGGCTGTGGCTAATAGACAAAAAGGGTGCAGCGTTCAGCTCAAAGGGGCACTTAATAAACCCTTGGCTTGAGTTGCACTGGGCTCATGTCTCAAAGGACACTGGGTAGTGAGAGGTGAAGATCAGATACGGGGCCTGAGGGGGGTGATGGATAGCCTGCAGGGGAAGTTATTGGGACCAGTTGCTGGTTAACTGATGCCCACCAGACTGGCTTAGCAAGCACTGATGACTAGGAGGACTGGTGGGGTCCTTTGAGGACTGTTGCCTGGCATGTTCCTACTTGTCCTATTCAGGTGTCTGAGTGTGACTCTCAAGTGTCTGCCTTGTGTCTCTGAACTGTGTGTTTGGCTTGTGTATGGGGAAACTTGGCTTACATTGAGCAACAAGTCAGACGGTTGCAAATTCTGTCTTTTTTTTTGGTGGGGGGGATGGGGTTCGTGACTAGTCCGAAAGGCCTGGGAAAAGGAAAGTAACCAAGGTTCAAAAAGGGGAAGCAGCCTGGCTTTTCCTAGTTCATTTAAACCATTACCTAAACTGGGTTATATATTTACTTCTTCTAAATTTAGATTCCATAAATACTTATTTTGTATAGAGCCCCAGTTTTTATGTGAAAAACACCTAAATCAGAAAGTAACTTGAAAAAGATGTTGCAAGCCTGCTATTTGTCATTACAAATACAGAAGGAGAAATTAAGGAAATAAACTAAATGATGGATGATCAGTTGAGCACTTGCATTGTTTAGCAAATGTTTACCTTGTCCTAATTAATTTTAAAAATAAATATGTAAATGTATATGTATGGCTGAGTCCCTTCACTATTCACCTGAAACTATCACAACATTGTTTAATTGGCTATAAATATATAAAATAAATTTAATATAAATTTATATATAAAATAAAAAGTTCAAAAAAATTTGTAAAGACTGATGAATCCTGTTAGAATATGGGGCCAGATGAGGTTAAAGTCATGGATAAATGAATTCTTGGACTTAGCTTTGTCCTCTTGGTCTGTCACCCCTCACCCTAACTAGCTGCCCTACAAATAAAAGTCATTAACTTGGGAGGGTCCTGGGGAGGGCATACTGTTTGTCCTACTAAGACTGTATTCATGAAGAAAAAAAAAGAAATCCATTAAATTATGGATGAAAATGCTTTCAGCCTCCAAGCATACAGAGATTTTGTATGGGTAAAGAAAGAGAAGTTGTTTGTTGTGTTTGATGTTCTCCAGCTAGGTTTTGTATAAGGTGGAAGTATTTGAAGTTGCTGTTTTTGTATATCAAAAATGGTCAGGTGTTGACCATTTTATATAGTTCAATCAAATAACTTCAATTCAAATAACACTGAAATAGAAAATTTGGCAATGCCAGTGATGTTTTTGAAAAAAGTCAATACCATCAGGAAATTCTTCATGCATCAAAAGTGTGACTCTGATGCAGTATGTCATTGTTAAACTGTGTGTGCATCAGTCAGCAAGAATCTGCTGTCCAGAGGTGCCTAACCCTCTGTCCATTAAAAGAGAAAGCAACAGGCCAGTCCCCTAAGGTATTTTCCTCTTTTGGAGGAGAGATATGTGCAACATCCCACAGAAAATAGATTTATAAGATGCTTCAAGTGTATGATTCCCCCTACATTACCATTTGAACTGGCCTCTGTCTGTCATTTCTTTGTACCTCCATGATACCTATTAATCCTTCACATTGTCTCTTTCACTTTTCTGAGAAAGTGGTACTCTCCCAATCAAGTTCTTGACCTCATGCTTCCACTAAGACCTTACTTCATTCATCATCATCTCTCTGGCTTCATCCATTTCTCCCTTGTGCAGCTCCTCTGCCCATAAACATGCAGAAGCACCCCTGTCTATCTGCCCTCACTGCTCTGCCCCATTGAACTGCTCTTTCTAACTACCACCCTATTTTTCTCTTTCCCTTCTCCATGAAACTTCTTGAAGTAGTTTAAGCTTCTTGCAGTTGTTTCTTACCCTTGAAATGCTCTGCTTCTGTTCTATTGAAATCTCTTTTACAAAGATCACCACTGACATCCTCATCATCAAACTAAAAGGACACTTCTCTGCCTTTCGAATCCTTACCCCTCAATAGCATTCAGCAATGCTGACAAGCTCTTTCTTCTTGGAACATTTTGCTCCTTTGGTTTTCAAGCTGCAGTGTCCTGGCTGCCCTCCCACCTCCCCTTCTTCTTTCTGTAGCATGCATTTCTCATCTTATTTCCTAAATAGAGAGATCCTCTAATAATCTCTCTTTAGCTCTCTTCTTATATGCCCTAACATTTTCCACTACTTAACATGTAAATGACTAAATCAGCATCTACAGCCCAGAACTCTCCCTAGTTGCAGACAAGCATTTACAGGAAGCAGTGAGGAAGCAATGGAAACAGTCAGGAATTTGACATTTGTAAATCCAAATTCAAGTCTGGCTCCACCATTTACAACTTTGACATTGCTAAATATGGGAATATCACAGAGTTCTTAAGATAACTAGATGACAAATATTTTCAAAGAGTTGAGCAGATTTTAAAATATAGAAAGAGAAACAGATATTGACATATATTTCAACAATATTTCTAAGTATTTGCTGGATTTCCTTCTTGTTTATTCCATAGCACTCTAATTTAGTGTTTCCAAAATTAAGTTCTTTATCTTCTCCTTCACCCTTGAACACACAACAGTACCTCTTCCTGAAAGCCTTATTCCTGTTAACAGTACTGTTACTCCCAGTCACCCTTACAAAACCTGGTATCATCTTTGATTTCCTCTTGTCTTCCATCCACCCCTTTAACCTCCAAGCATCTAAGATGCTGAAAAACTCTATAGATTTATCTCCACAGTGGCTCTCAGATTATAGCCCCTTTCTTTCCATTTCTACTGCCTTCATCACTTATCTTCTGAGCTACTATAATTATCTGATATCTACTTCTAACTCCATCATCCTACACACCATCAAGTTAATTTCACTAAGAATTTTAAAACATTTTCAGTGGGTTCCCCATTGCCTATCAGTCAAGCCCAAACTTTTAAATATGCCAGTTAAGCTCTTCATGCTTTTGACTCAAAATTCCTGCCCAATCTTACCTCTATTAATCTTTGTGTAACCCACCCCTAAATCCAACTGATTACTCCCTATTTCCTGAACAATTCTTTTGATTAGTACTTATACAGTCTTTTCATGAAGTTTCCTTCACTGAAAAATACCCTTTCTCTCCACTTGAATTGCCATAACCTTCTCCAAGGTCCATTTTTAATATTATTTCTTCCATATACCTTACCTATTTTTTCCCCTAAAACGTAATCTTTCCTTCCTTCAAATTCCTCAAAGAACTTTTATCATGTGTCTTTCCAGGAGAGATGACGACCACCCTACTTGACTGAATTGTAAAATCGAGAAGTCAAAGACTATCCTAAACTCATCTTCATATCTTAGTCCTTGAAGCATCAGAAATACTACAAGTGGTTAAATAAATATTAATTGAATTAGCAACTGAAGCAGAAGAAAATAAAGTACTACTTTTCACAATAAAATGTTTTGAATGTACCCATCTCTCTGAAAAGTCATAAAAAATGTGGAGTAAATGCTGCCTAGGCATAAAAAAATAATATTGTGGAAACATCCCCTGGTACCTCAGAAATCACATTTTTAAAAACATTTTTACTGTGCAAATATAACACATAATAAGAAAAGCGACTTCTCTGGTAGTCCAGTGGTTAAGAATCTACCTGCCAAGGCAGGGGACACGGGTTCGATCTCTTGGGGAAGGTTCCACGGGCTGCATGGGCTAAGCCCACGTGCCACAACGACTGAACCCATGTTCTAGAGCGCCTGCTTGGCAGCAAGAGAAGCCGCCACAGGGAGAAGCTCACACACCAGTTAAAGATTAGCCCCTGCTCACCGAAAGTGGAGAAAGCCTGCTTGTAGCAACGAGACCCAACACAGCCAAAACTTAATTAATTAAAAAGGAAAGTTAATAAAACACAGCTATGAAATTAAATAAATAAGGAAAAAGTAAAAACCATGTAATCACTATGCAGGAGAAGAAATAGAACATTGCTAGGACCCTAGACTCACCCATCTACCTTGCTGTATGCCCCACCAGATACACATAAAATCACTTTCCTGACTTCCATGATAACTACTTCTTAGCTTTTTTTTTTTTTTAAGGTTTAACTTCTTATGTTTGCATCACTAAACAATACAGTGTGGGGTTTTTTTTGCCTTTCTTTAAATTTTATATTCATTTTGTATATAGTCAAAAAGATTCTAAGTGTTCAGCATCTTTCCTTAAACACAGTGATCCATGTTTTTGCAACCAGCAGCAATTCACTCACTTTTATTTCTGTATAAGATTCCACTTTATGAATGTACCACAGCCTGCCTGTTCTACTGTTGATGGACATATAGGTTGTCTCTAGTTTGGGGGCTGCAGTGAACAATACAGCTGTGGATATTTTTTCATGTGTAGCCTGGGGCAGTGCTCACATACCTTTAACATGTATGTCTAAGACTGGCTAGCATTGCTGACAATGTTTTAAATTGCCTCTGGAGAATAATTTTTTGGTAAATAATATTTTAAAATTTTACTACTGTATGGCATAGGGAACTATACTCAATATCCTGTAGTAATCTATAGTGGAAAAGAATTCAAAGAAGAATAGATATATAAGTATGTATAACTGAATCACTTTGCTGTACACCTAAAACTAACACAACATTGTAAATCAACTATACTTCAATAAAAAGTCCTGTTTTGAAAAAAATTAAAGTAACAAAATTTTTCTCATATTTTCTAACTTCTATTCCTAAGTGCTTATTACAAAAAAAGCCTAATGTATATATATTACATTTAACTGGGATTTATGAATAAATTAGTATATTTTAAATCATTACTGGAAATGTATACAGTTGGTTGATTGGATGTTTGTTTGCCAGTTTTGCATTGATTGTATCCACATGCAATTTTTAGTTGACTACATCGTGACCAATTAATTACCCTTTCTCCCTGTTTTTGCAGGTCCCCTCCTATCAGAATTATTTTCATTCTAAAATTTCTATATTTAACCTTACCATGGTCTCTGTAATGTCATTTTTCCTTTCTCTCACTTTTTTTCCCAATCTGTCTCCCTTACTCTTTGTCCTTGTGGATTCACAAAATTCAGCAGATGCTCTGCTTCTTCCATTCCTGCTTATGAACTCTGCTCTGTTAATTCCGTAATGCCAGTAATTGCTCCCTTATGGACTCTTATGATGTCTTTCCCCTGGGCCTTAAGCCCCGACTGAAAGACTTAGCTCACCTTTGAAGCATCTCTATCACTTGTTCATTATTCTTTCTGTAACACAAAATAAACCAGCCTTTAATATTAACATAAGAAATAAACACATGCACTTTAATTTCTAAAAAAGTCTTGATTTTGAAAATGTGTATGTTAAAGGAAAAATTATCACTAATAATATTTTCTCCTTTAAACCTAATACTTTAGATTTGTCCTAACATGAAGCATTCCACTGTGATCCCAATTGAAAGCTTTAAATAAGAGAGCAACTAAACTAAGTCTGATCCTGGATCCTGTTGGACTTGACAGTCATCTTTTAGAAAGATTTTCAATAAAGTTGTAGTGGCTCTTTAAAAAATTACAAAATGAAAAACCCTCTATGGTATAGAAAGGAAGTACTGCTGCTTCTTCAGATGCTAAGTTTAGCTAATCTTGCACCAGACCTGGCCAGGAGCTACAAATAGTTCCAACCAACCAGCAGGAAAAGGCATAGCACCAGGGGCAGTGCCATGGACTTGGTCTCTCCAGCAATCATTTCTGTTAGGACAGCTCGATGACAGGTACCTAAGAAATGGAGGCTTGAGGAAGTAATACTGGTAATTTTTCCATAAAATTATATAAAAGGTGAATTATCATACATCATATTTACTTCAGGTGCACTTAGGTAAGTAGGTGCATTTTATAGAAGTGGTCATGTTACACTGATGAAGCTATCCTTTTTTAAGAGACTAGAGATTACTCTAGAAGTTAGAATTATAAAAGAACAATTAACTCATCAAGCCATTCCACTGCTCCTCAGCCTGAAGAAGGTATTGAATATTTGAGTGGATTATAGCTAATAACCTGTGATCTCATTTTCTAGAATTGTAATACAGGGAGCTACATAATGTGGCACATTGGGAACTGGAGCACTAATCTATTTTTATTCCCTTTTCTTTCTCCTACTTGCAAGCTAAGCTCAGCATTGGCCAGCGAGCAGTAACAGTTCAGAAAGGACCGCTGTTTAGAGCTGAAGGTTACCCCATCAGCATCGGCTGCAATGTAACTGGCCACCAAGGACCTTCTGAGCAGCATTTCCAATGGTCTGTTTACCTGCCAACAGCCCCGACCCAAGAAATCCAGATCATTAGCACCAAGGATGACACCTTCTCTTATGTACTGTATGCAAAGCGGGTAAAAAGTAGGGAAATCTACGTGGAGAGGGTCCAGGGTAACTCAGTCTTTTTGCACATTTCCAAGCTCCAGATGAAGGATACTGGCGAATATGAGTGTTTCACACCCAACACTGATGAAAAATACTATGGGACTTACAATGCGAAGACTAATCTTATTGGTAAGCTCTGTGCCCTTCTTTGTTAGCCAGCCCCTGACAATCCAGAATCTCCATCACCATAATGCCTTGCACTGTGATATGGCTTTATGGTGTGCTGTTTGTTTTAGCAAAAGAGCCCATGAACCCCTCTGAATATCTTGGAGTTTGTCACAGATAGGTATCTCATATTCTCTAAAACTCTCAATTCATTTTCCCAATCGACTTTGTCATGAAGAGTTAGATATGATGTGGTATTCCAAGGCCTTGCCCAAAGCTATCCATAGGTTGATAATAACACAGACAAAGCTTTGAGAGTTCTCATGTCTCTTCTTGGACACAGAATATTAACTTGATAGAAGAGCTGGTATTGATATAACACATTTATATATAGTTAATATCATAGGAAGGCAGTCATTGATGTGGAAATAGTTATTCTCAAACTACCATTCTCTAGTGTATTTTCCTATATGGCAAGGGTCATATTTGAAATTACTGTTTTGTCCCTTTGCCTAGAATATCTTGTCACTTCCTTTTCAGCCTAGCAAACTCCTACATATACTTTCAAACCCAGTTTAGATATTTCCTCTCCTGTGAAACCTGTTCTGACGGTTACAGGCAATATTCCCATCTTTCTTCCTTCTTGTTGTTCTCTTCACACCACTGTTATTAGCATTCACCTAGTTTATGTGGTAATTGGCTGCTTATATGACCCTCTCTGATTTTGCCCCAAGCACTGTAAGGTAACATTTACTTCACTCCCTAGCACAGTGGTTAGCACTGAGTAGAAGCTCAATAAACATTCATTGTTGAATCTAAATGTTGCTTTCACATAAACTTAGGCTGTATGATCTCCTTTGAGGAGGAAGAGAATGTTAGGGTATAGGATGGTTATCAAAACTTTGGTAAGGGTTGCATTTTGGCTCTGAAAGATAAATTATAACAGATTATTTCAGAACTTTATTTTATAAAGGAGCAGGTGAAGGCCCAAACAAGTGAAGTGACTTGTTCCAGTTCATGGAGTCAAATAGGGACAAATATAGGATCAGAATATAGGTCTTCTAGCTCCTAGTGCTTTTCCCATTTAGAACTTCTGTGTCTGAGTAGCAAAATGGGTTACAGACTATGCTAAAAATGTAACAGTGAACCAAGAGCCTTGCCAGGTTCCATAGACTGTATGTACATAGATGCCAATGTTCCTGTTGGTAATAGGTAAAGCATAGAGCTGATGGGAAGCCAACTCAAAGAATGTACTTTATAGATAGTGGGTCAGGCCACCACCTTCATCTAGATAGGCTAGTCTAACTAAGCCTCTAATTGATACTAAGTCAGTTACCATCATTCCTCTGTGTCCAGTCATTCCAGATAGCCTCTCGGCGGCCATGGCTCCCCAGACTGTAAATAAGGAGGAAGGTGAGCCGTTGGAACTTACCTGTGAGGTGTCCAAAGCCACAGCTCAACATACCCACCTCTCCATCACCTGGTACCTGATGAAGGATGGAGAAGGAAGCCACGCCAGCAAGATTATTTCCCTCTCCAAAGATTTTACATTGCTCCCTGGGCCCTTGTTTACAAAGAGGTTTGCAGCTGGTGACGTGCGACTGGACAAGCTTGGGGTCACTACCTTCAGGCTATCCATGGGGAGGCTCCAGCCCTCAGATCAAGGTCAGCTGTTCTGTGAGGCAACTGAATGGATTCAGGATCCTGATGAAACCTGGACTTCCATCACGAAAAAGCAGACGGATCAAACAACTCTCAGGGTCCAGCCGGCAGGTGATTATCTTCTCAGGAAATTCATTAATATGCTAATGGTGGGTATTTCGGGAGATATCTTTCTGTTTGGTTTTTTTTTTTTCCTTTTTTTGGCTGTGCCACATGTCTTGCGGGATCTTAGCTCCCTAACAAGGCACTGAATCAATGCCCTCGGCAGTGAAAACATGGAGTCTTAACCACAGGACCACCAGGGATGGAGTTTTAACCACAGAGCCACTAGGGAACTCCTGATTTTTATTTGTAAATCTTTGGTTGAATATAAAACAAGATCATTTAGAAGGTTTGGGTAAATTTTGCTTTTGTCATTTTTGAAGCATAAATAAGAAAGATCTTCATTTTGGGCTCTGTCCGCAGGCTATGTCCATGGAAGGTCTTATATGGGATAAAATCTGTTGACTGTTAGGTAGATCCCACAAACCATACATGGAAATAGTTTTGCTGCCATTTTTGCCAGGCTTTGTGTAAGCACTTCAGCTGCATTATCTAACATAATCCTGACAACCAGCTTCGGAGCAAGTTGTCAAATTCCGGTTTTCGAAACACGGTCCGGAGCCCCAGCTAATGGTCTGCCTAGGCTTGCTCAGCTGGTGAGAAGTGGAGCTGGTGTTTGAAGACAGGTGTGTCTCTCCAAGGCCCTCTCTCCACGATCACCTGGGCCTCAGAATAGCCCAGTTTCCAGTGTGAAGCCTTGGCAGTGCTCCCTCCTCCTGGCTCCTTTACCTTGCAATAATGTCACTCTTCGTGATCCATTGGCACTTTCACTAGAGCAAGCAGGAAGCCTCCATTGTAATTCCTGGTCTCTCCACTTGAGCTTTGGTCCACTAGGAGGAGATCTAAAACCATAAACATTCTTGCTAACAGCAATGATGCAGTGGTGGCTGATTGAAGTTTTCTTTCTTTTTTTTTCTTAAAGAGGAGTATTATTCTGTTCCATTAAAAACTGTCCTGATGGCTTTATATGTCCAAATTATACAGGGGGAGTCCTGTGGAGACATATGCTTTTTTTCCCCTTTCTTTGAAAAAAATTTTTTTAATGTATGTCTTTACTTTTAAAATTTATTTATTTAAATCAATAAAAATTGTATATGTGTAAGGTGTACAGTACTGTGTTTTGATATCTGTATGCATTGTGAAATGACTATGATCAAGTTCGTTAGCATATCCATCACCTCACATGTTTGTGTCACGTATGTGGTAACACTTAAGATCTACTTCTTAGCAAATTTCAGGTAACACCACACAGTATGACTAACTGTAATCATTAGATCTCCAGAACTTATTCATCCTGCATAACTGAAACTTTGTACTCTTTGACCAACGTCTCCCCATTTACCCCACTCCCAAAAGCCCTAGCAACCACCAGTCTACTCTCTGCTTCCACGTGTTCAACACTTTTAGTTTCCACAGTATTTATCTTTCTGTGTCTGGCTTATTTCACATAGCAAAATGTCCTCCAGCTTGGTCCATGTTTTTGAAAGCAGTAAGATTTCCTTTTCTCTCATGGCTTAATAATAGTCCATTGTGTATATATACATTTTCTTCATCCGTTTATCCTTTGATAGTCACTTGTGTTGTTTACATATCTTGGATATTATAAGTAATGGACATAGTGCAGGTACCTCTTTGAGACACTGTGTCATTTCCTTTGGCTACGTACCCTCAAGTGGGGATTGCTGGGTTATGTGGTAGTTCTACTTTTAGTTTTTGAGGAACTTCCATACCATTTCCTATAATGATCATACCAATTTACATTCCTACTAACAGTATACAAAGGTTCTTTTTTCTTCTCCATCCTCACCAACACTTGGTATCTTTTGTCTCTTGATGACAGCCATTCTAACAGATGTGACATGATATCTTGTGGCTTCAATTTGCATTTCCCTGGTGATTAGTGATAAGCATCTTCATTTCCAGATTTTTAGCCATTTGTGTGTCTTCTTTTGAGAATATGTAGTCAGATCGTCTTTCATTTTTATGTCAACTTATTTGGAATTTTTTGCTATTAATTTGTATGAGTTTCTTATACATTTTGAATAGGAACCTCTTTTTGAGTACATGGTTTGTGAATATTTTCTCCCATTTTGAGATCATCTCTTCACTCTGCTGATTGTTTCTTTTGTGTACAGAATCTTTTGTGGTTTGATGCAATTCTACTTGTCCATTTTTGCTTTTGTTGTCTGTGCTTGTGGGGTCATATCCAGAAAATCATGGCCCAAACTAATGTCAGGAAGGTTTTCCTTCTATTTTCTTTTCTTTTTTTCTTAGGCCATGCTGCAAGACATGTGGGATCTTAGTCCCTGACCAGGGGTCGAACCCATGCCCCCTGCCATAGAAGCACAGAGCCTTACCCACTGGACCACCAAGGAGGTCCCCCTTTTATTTTCTTCTAGTAGTTTTTCAATTTCAGGTCTTAGGTTTAAATCTTCAATTCATTTTGAGTTTATTTTTTTTTAATATTCTCTGAGACAGGGGTCCAACATTTTTCTTCTGCATATGGATATATGGATATCCAGTTGGTTCAACACCATTTATTGAAGAGACTATCTTTTCCCTGTTGTGTGTTTTTGACACCCTTATTGAAGATTAACTGACAAAGATTCATGAATTTATTTCTGGGTTCTCTATCCTGTTTCATTGGTTTATATGTCTTTATGCCAGTATCATAGTTTTGATTACTGTAGCTTTGTAATGCATTTTGAAAACAGGCAATGTGATACCTACAGCTCTTGCTCAAAATTCTTTGGCCAGTCAGGGTCTTTTGTGGTTCCATATGAATTTCATAATTGTTTTTATCTATTTCAAAATGCTTTTAGAATTTTGATAGGGATTGCAATGAATCTGTAGATTGCTTTGGGTGATATAAGCATTTTAATAATATTAATTTTTCCAACCCGTGAACATGGGATATCTTTCCATTTTTTTGTTTCATCTTCAGTTTCTTTCGTCAGTGTTCTACTGTTTTCATTTTACATCTCTTTCACCTCCTTGGTTAAATTTATCCTTAAGTATTTTCTTCTTTTTGATACTATTGTAAATGGGACTGTTTTCCAAGTTTTTTTGATAGTTTATTGTTAATGTATAGAGATGCAACTGATTTTTTTCGTGTGTTGATTTTGTATGCTGCAACTTTACTGAAATTCTTTATTAGTTTTAACAGCTTCTTGGTGGAGTTTGGTGGGGTTTTTTTCTTTTTTCTTTTGGTTCCTATATGTAAGAACATGCCATCTGCCAACAGTGAGTCTTTCTTCTTTTTTTCCAATGTAGATGCTTTTAATTTCTTTTTCTGTCTAATTGCTCTAGCTAGGACTTCCAATACCATGTTGAATAGAAGTGGTGAGAATGATCATCCTTGTCTTATTCTTGATGTTAGACGAAAAGCTTTCAGTTTTCCACTGTTGAGTGTGATGTTAGCTGTGGATTTGCCATATATCACATATGCTTTTAACTTAGGAAAATTCCACTGGATATTCTCAGCCAAAAACGAGAGCAAGAAATTACGATTTACGTCAGTTCAACATAGTGTAAAATATTTTATTTTAAAAGATACATTACTATGTACACATCCATACATTCATCTTGCTTAATTGTATTGCATTCAAAAAATCACATGTGTTGTTCTTTCTAGATGATTTAAAAAATAGTCAAGGGCATTTTTGATTCTAGGCATTTCTTTGGCCCATCTCTGATCTCCCACATTAAATTCAGTCCTTGTACTATCCTGATAGGGGATAGCATCTCTCTCTGGTATTAAAGGCATGGGTGCAGTGGCCTCTCTAAATATCTGCCTTGCTTTTGTTTCCTAGTGAGAGATTTTCAAGTCAACATTAAAGCTGAGAGCACAGTTCCTGAAGGAAAATCCTTAGAACTCATTTGCCTGGTCATGGGCGGTGGCCAGGACCCACACCTTCAGGGCACTTGGTTCTTCAATGATGTTGAAATGGCCCACATTGATGCTGATGGAGTTCTGGATCTGAAGAAAGATTACCAAGAAAGAGCAAGCCAAGGACAGCTCCAGGTTTCAAAGTTAAGCCCCAAGTCTTTCTCTCTCAAGATCTTCTCTGTGGGCCCAGAGGATGAAGGTGCATACAGATGTGTAGTGGCAGAGGTGACAAGAGCTCAGATGGGCTCCTGGCAGGTGCTTCAGAAAAAACAATCCCCAGACAGCTTTGTGCGCCTTTGGAAGCAAACAGGTATGTGAAGTTGGGGCCAGACACGGTTGGGCTGCATTTCAATGTCCTCCTTTGTAAGTGCTGGTTATCTTCATGGACACAGGGGAGGTCTCCTGAAGTCAGGTAGTAATCAGGTCACTTTGAGGTGGAGTGGAGTAAAGAGAAGCACCCAAACTAACTGAAGACCTGGGGACTTCCCAGGTGGTTTAGTGGGTAAAGAATCCATCTGCAATTCAGGAAACCCAGGAGACTCAGGTTCGATCCCTGCATTGGGAAGATCCCCTATAGGAGGAAATGGCAAGCCACTCTCATATTCTTCTCTGAAAATCCCATGGACAGAGGAGCCTGGTGGGCTACAGTCCATGGGGTCACGAAGAGTTGGACACAACTGAAGTGATTGAGCATGCACCTATACAGCTGAAGACCTGAGTCCTACTCCTGAGCCAATAAATGGCCTGTGACATGAACACTACGTACGTACTTCACTTCACTAATTCTCAGCTTCTGCAGTTGTAAGATAATCTAATTTGACTGTCTTTAAGTCCCTTCTTGTCATCTTAGACTCTTGATTCTATTTGCTATTATTTCTAATTGTTGTATTGGGTTTTCTTTCAGCCAAGAATACCTGCATTCATGAAGACCCCTGTCTCCTTGTGCGTGTGTGTATTTTGAGTAGATTAAGAGAAAAGAGATTATACTTGCCTCTTTCCTGAGAAATAAACACCCACATTACCCCTTCTACTTTTTCAACATCTTTCAACTGACAAAAGGTGTTTTTTGTCAGTTCTCTGTGTTCTTAACCTAATATAGGGAATGATACTCAGTCTTAATTCTGCATCAAACCATGACTCAGAGTAAGAAAAGAAGAAGTGAGAGTGGGCAGACTCTATTGCCTGCATGTTGCTGTGATGTGGCGAGACACCTATCTGACCCAGATAGGCTGGGTCTGATTATCTGGAAGGCCATTCAGCTCCTGTTAAGTTTCTGAAGGCTGGGTAATCTTAAGCATGTTTGAATAATCAGTGCTTTTTGTGTGGAGAGAAAACTGATAAATCCACAAGCAATACTATGATTTTCTGGGCTGAGTATTAAATTCAAAGTCTAGAAAGATGAATTGCCCCAAAGGAGAAACCAAAAAATAAACAAATAACAAACCCAAAATGAAGATGTCCTTTTTGTACTCGCTTATTGGAGGCATCTCCCTAGACACAAACACTTCCATGCTCTTCTCCATCACCCCATTTGCTTGGAGTGAAGATGCACAGCTTTGGCCTAGATTGGCGAGCCAGGAAGTATGTTGGTGTTAGTTTTTACACTAAACATTTGGTCTTTCTTGCTAGGATTCAGAAAAAACTATGTAGGCGTGTTTACATATTTACACAGAGCTAAATCTCAACCTCATGTATCTGTCTCCACTGGAACAGAACTGTAAACCTTTCATAAACTCAGGACAGAGGAATCTGTGCCAAAGGGACCAAAAGGTATGCTTTGGGGCATACAGATCACAAGCCTATCAAGTAGGTGGTCTGTCCAAGCTAAAAATAATACTTTGTGCAGCCTGGAGTCCAACCTGTTTCTTTTTACAGAGAAACAGAAAAAGTTAGTAGCAGATTTATTAAAGATCCTATTGAGCATTTGGTTTTGAAACTCAAAGCATTACTTCAAGTATGAGCAATTTTATCATCTGATGAATGTTTTAAACAGAAGAGAGTACTTCCCTACCACTATGCATGCGCACCTTACACATGCCTGGTGAGTGTATCACTTCTAACCCAGAGACAGCAATGACCACAAAAAAGTAAGGAAACCACAGTTTTTTTAAAAAACTGAAACTGCTTGAAACCTATCATAATGGTTATACTTGAATAGTAAGATTATGACTAATAATTTCCCCTCTAATTTTGAAACTTTAGTTATGAGTCTATTTTTAACCTCAAAAAAAATTAAGTGTAGTAATGCCTTTAATACCCCAAATTTGGAAGCAAGTTTTATATATGTATATATATGTTATGTTATATACATATATATGTAATAGGTAGATATAGATATATATTAATCTATTTGTGGACATTAGCCTTTCTGTCTTGGTAACGTATGTTCATCCATAAAGCTGTTAAAGACAGAACTCTTCCTCAGCAGAGAAGATCAATTTGCAAATTCATTTAGATCTTATTAAGATTTCAAACGCCGGTTCTGTTTTATTTTCCTGGAAATTCCCTGGTGGTTCAATGATTAGGACGCCATGCTCTCACTGCTGAGGGCCCAGTTTCAATCCCTGGTCAGGGAGCTGAGATCCCACAAGTCTAGAAAATGTAAATTTTTAAAAAATCTTTTTATTTTCCTTTTCTGACTTTGAACACCTCTGCTTTCACGAAGGACCTATATTACACACTAATGCTAGTAGCTCACCTTTGCTGGGCACTTTTCCTTGCCAGAGAGTGTAGGCCCTTTGCACGTGCCATTCACTTAGTTTTCTCACAGTGCAAAAGTGAGGTGCTATTATTACCCCCTTTCCTTTACAGGAAAGGAAACTGAGGCTCAGAGAGGCTCACTTGTTGTCCAGGATAATTCTATAATAACTCCAGGGACCTTGGCCTTAGGCACGAGGCTGGGCTGCCTAGGATTCATGAGCTTGGGGGACCTTTACATTGCCCGCAAAGCACCCAGGACAAGGCCTCACACAGGAAGTATCTGTTGAAAGGATGTCCACATTTCTGATCATCTTGAATTTTCCATCTGGGAGCCAGACTTACATTTACTGTTTTAGACTGTAGTTCAGATATACGAAGAATCTCCCTTCAGCCAACAATATATATGAATGAATATATGATTTGAAAAGGAGAAATGTATACATATGTGTGTGTGTGTATAGGTGTATATATATATATATATATTTTTTTAAAATACTTGAGGGAGAAGTATATCTGTATTTATAGTATATATATTTATATATACATATTTTCACCCAAATAATTTTTTAAAAGAAGACATTTTTAATTAAAAAAAATTTTTATTGGCATTCAGTTGCTTTACAATTTTGTGCTAGTTTCTGCTATACAGAAAAGCTAACCAGCTATACATATACATATATCCCCTCTTTGTCACCACAGAGCATTGAATAGAGTTCTCTGTGCTCCAACAGAGGTCCTTATTAGTTATCTATTTTATACATATAGTGTATACATGTCAATCCCAATCTCCCAATTCATCCCACCCCTTGCTTCCCCCCTTGGTGTCCATATGCTTGTTCTCTATATCTGTGTGTTTATTTCTGCTTTGCAAATAGGTTCATCTGTACCATTTTTCTATGTTCCACATATATGCATTAATACACAGTATTTGTTTTTCAACTTCTGACTTTCTTCATTCTGTATGACAGCTCTAGGTCCATCCAAGTCTCTGCAAGTGGCACAATTTCATTCCTTTTTATGGCTGAGTGATATTACGTTGCATACATGTGCCACATGTTCTTTACCCATTTCTCTGTTAATGGACATTTAGGTTGTTTCCATATCTTGCCTGTTGTAAATGGTACTGCAATGAGCATCGGGGTGCGTGTATCTTTTGTAATTATGGTTTTCTCTGGGTCTGTGCCCAGGAGTGGGATATCTGAGTCACACAGTAGTTCTATTTTCATTTTTTTAAGGAACCTCCATACTGTTCTCCATAGGGTCTGTATCAATTTATATTCCTACCAACAGTGTAAGAGGATCCTCTTTTCTCCACACCCTCTTCAAGTAATTGCTTTTTAATGGCAGCATTTTGAACAGAAATATAATTAACAGTACTTCTTCACTGTTCAGATACATACTAATTAGGGAAAGATAAGTAAGAGGAGGAAGGTCATTTTTGAACTGTGAAAGTCTGAATTCTAGAAAACTAAACATTGAAATAAACACAGTTTCATTACTTTCAGTCTCATACACCGACTCTAATTAATTTAACGAAATATTACCATGTGTTTTCCCAACTAGATGTTCCTAAGGACCAAATCACTAAAACATAGGGCAAACTGTAAATTGTTTACATGTAAATTAGTTCTCCTGGTGTCCTTTCTGTCACTTCTACTATTTAAGTGTTGATTAAATCTTTTATTCTGGGGGATGGTGCAAGAGTAAACAATTTGATTGGATTTGTCACAAAGTAGTCAAGTCTTAATTAATGAGAGTTCACTGTTTTTTAGAAAACTTTTCATTTACTCAAAATATCTTTTTCTTCTAAAATTTGTAATCCACAGCAAGAAATGTGGCCGTGTCTACCAAGAACAGGCAGCAAGCAGTGTGGGAAGGAGAGGCGTTAACCCTTCTCTGCAAGGCAGATGGAGCTGAGAATCTCCTGACTGTGACCTGGTGGCATGTCCCACAAAACCAGACACAGCCGGTGTTTGTGGCTGGCATGGAGCAGGATGGCACCGTGAAGCTGGGTGCTTCCTATGGGGAACTCAATAACCTCAGAAATGCAAGGCTGGAGAAAATGGACTGGGCCACCTTCCAACTTGAGATCGCCTCCACCACCATCACAGACAGTGGCATGTATGAGTGCAGAGTGTCTGAGAGGACCCGGAGGCAGGCCAGGGATCAGAGTTGGACTCAGAAGGTGTCAATAACTGTAAAACCCCTTGGTAAGTGTCAGGGAAAGCCTTTGCTGAACTTGCATATCATCAACATCTTCCTTCTGTAGTGGGATGCCATGGAATTTGATTGCACGTCATCCTGAATCCTCCAGGTACAGTACGTATAACCCAGAGCACAGAGCAGAGTCTCTGGTTACCAAGTCTGCCAACTGGTCTCCAAAGTTTACTCATCTTTATAAAGACCATCTTCAGGGTGCAACTTATAAGTTGTTATTCAAGGCTAACAACAAGATCGTATCATTTGGAGTAGACTTAGAAAAGAGATATGCCAAGTGAAGCGGAGCCTCATACCTTCAGGCTTCTGACAGCTGCAGCCTGGGATGGCGGAATCTCCAGTAGCAAGTGTAAAACAGTGGTAGTGCACCCGGCAGTGGGGATAAGGGAAGCAGGCCAGCCAGCAGGGCTGGGGAGTGCCCCACCCCCTCAGTAGCAGCTGTCTAAGCAGTGGACTGGAGAAACACTGCCTGTTTGTTGTCTCTGCTGAGAACACTCTTACAAGAGGGTCAACTTTAGAAAACTGAGGTCAGAATTCAGGACAGCCTGTACTGTGAATCAATTTCTACCCCCAAATATTTGATACTCCCAGTGTATGAACACACGGTTCAGTGTGACGAGGCAATGACTAAGAAAACTTAGAAGCATGGTACCTCAATTTGATAAACGGGTTAGACATCGTGTTTTGTGTTTATGCCCACAGAGTCAAGTTTACAAGTTAGTCTGATGAGCCGTCAACCACAAGTGAAATTAACCAACACCTTTGACCTGTCCTGCATAGTGAGGGTTGGCTACTCTGACTTCAAGGTTCCACTCACCATGACATGGCAGTTCCAGCCAGCCAGATCTCGAACCTTTGATCTGCTTCTTCAAATCACCCACAATGGCACTATTGAATGGGGGAGCTGCCTACCCCAGTTCCAAAGGAAGACGAAGATTTCACAGTCTTCATTTCATTCTCGGCTCCTAATCCATGATGCCACCGAGGAAGAAGCAGGAGTTTATCAGTGTAAAGTAGAAGTTTATGACAGAAATTCTCTGCAGACTAACAGTCCTGTGAGGGCTTCTGCCACCTCTCACCCACTGAGGATCACTGTCACTTTACCAGGTTAACACTAGAAATTAATTCTGCTTTTTTAAAAAACATTCTTCCCATTTGGGGAAAGTTGTGGAATTAAAGCATAAAATACTTTCTCCCCATGTTTGTACTATAAGTAAGCACAATATATAAGTGATATCCAGGAAGTGGGGTAGGGATAAATTAGGAATTTGGTATTAACAGATTTAATGGACTTGAACTTGGACAAACTCTGGGAGATGGTGAGGGACAGGGAAGCAGTCGATGGGGTCACAGAGAGTTGGACACGACTTAGTGAATGAATAACAATGTTAACAGGTGCTCACTAGTATATATAAAGCAGATGAACAACAAGGACCTGCTATATAGCACAGGGAACTATATTCACTATCTTAGAGTAAACTATAATGGAAAAGAATCTGGATGAGAATATATAAATCACTTTTCTGTATGCCTGAAACATTGTAAATCAAGTATATTTTAATTTGAAAAGAAATTAACCAAAAACAAAAACATACCCCCCACCCCCACACACATACAGACATACACATGCAAAGTGATCTCGGTTAACATTGAGTTAATATGCACGAAATGGCCACACTGGTTTTTAAAACATTGGAATACTTCCACACTAATAATAACTGTTGCCCCTTCCTCATTTCCTGTAAGCCCCCACCGCTCAGCAACTGGACACCGCGTGGCACAGAGGGGGCCTCCAGGACCAGCTCCAGTGCTGGGGCATTCTTTCAGATTGGTCCCTGCCTGTGCCTGGCCAGTCATTAAATGTTTAGAATGTTTCTCCTAATGGTATGGATAATGAAAATTTCATTCAATACACTTAGCCATTCATTTTGATATGTTAATGTATAAGAATTAGATAATTTATGATTATAGTCAACATAATTTACCTTGTCAATTGGTAATAGAGATGAAAAGTAAGACACAACTTCACAAATGCTGCTGTGCCAGTATCTTCTTTCCTGATTTCCATCCTCTTAAGGTGGCGTGTTCAAGAGGCTTTGACATCACACTTAGATCTAATGAGAACTTAATCTGTCCAAGGCTACTGACTCCATGGGTAAATTGCTGATGTGCAATTTAAAGATGGTGACATGTTCCTAGTGCAGTGTCTGACGAACCAAGCAGATGCTCAAACGTGGTAACCATCATTCTCTCAGCTACTGAGCACTAGTTTTGGTTACAGTAGTCATCTCCTTGTTGATTAACTCATGCCTTAATTTACTTGTCTTTTCTGTCATATTTCAAATTGTTGGTTCAATCCTTTCTTCTTAAAACTTCTTTTTCCATGGCCTTGTGATGCAAGATGTTCTTGGTTTCCTTCCTAGCCCTCTCATGGCTGCTTCTCATTCTCTTTTGCAGAGTCCTCCTCTCACATTGACTCAGCCCTTTGGGCTTCATTCTCAACTTTCTTTCTTCTCATTCTATACAGTCTCCCAAAGTAGGCTTATTCCTACCCAGGGATTCATGCTATGTATTGACAACTCCCAAGTTCACTATCTTGAATGACTTCTCTTCTGATCTCCAGACTCATGCAATTGCCTTCAAGACATGTCTACACTCAATATGTCAGAACATAAATACACCATTATCATCCTGCCAAAGCTACTCCTCTGACATTATTCTCTATGTCCCCACCATCCATCAGTTATCCAAGCAAGAAACCTGAGTCATCCACTGCTCCTCCACATCCACCTCATATTCAAACTTGCATTACATGTCAGGCAAGGTCCTTTGTGATCTGGTACGTTATGTCTTCCCAGCACCATCTCTCCACTTTCCATCTTGAATTTGAGCTCCAACCACATTGAACTACTTGTAGTTCCTCCAATACTCTATGCTCTCTCTCATTTTTAGTCCTTGTTCAAGATGCTTCTTTTGCATGGAATTCCTTTACCTCTTCTCTATCAGCTTAATTCCTATTAACCCTTAAGACTTAGCTTAGAGATTATCTCCTCCAGGAAGCCTCACTCCCGTCTTTGGGTTTTATAGTTGTGCTAAGTGCTCTGATAGTCACTTTTGCACACTTCTGTCCCGCTTGGGTGACACAATCCTATAATTCCTCAGCCTCTGTCCCTGTACTAGTCTCTCCCTCTGGGCAGAAACTGAGGGGAGGGATCCGCAGAGCCTGGAATAGTCTGGCACATAAAATAGTATGTGTTAATAAATGTTTGTTGAAGGAGGAATAAAGGGACCTACTGGCAGCATCAGTAAGCTGTCACAAAAGTATAATCTGTGATGTCAGCAAGAAGAATAAGATTTAGAAGCCAGGTTTTGTCATTCATTTTTCTGACAAAACAGAAAAGCTCTAGGATTAAAGGATAGTTGACTCCATATCCATACAATGTTCCCAGAGTTGAGTGACTGCAAAGAGACATTCAGTTTTAATAGTGAACATACAGCTTCCTCTTGTTTACCCGTGTCTGCAGACAGATACAACTAGACTTGGGCAAATTATGGATCAAGGAGTATTCTGGATAGCAAACACCCAGACAAAGCATCCAAGGGCCACTTTCTCTCAATTTGATTTATGAAATACTACAAAAGAGAAGATGTCTGTGCCTAAATATTGAAGAATTTTCTTTTTTTAAATTTTACTTTATACTGAAATATAGTTGCTTAATGATGTTGTGTTAGTTTCTGGTATACAGCAAAGTGATTCAGTTTTATATGTATATGATTTATTATAGGATGTTGAATATAGTTCCTTGGGCTACACAGTAGGTCCCTTTTGGTTATCTAATATTAAAGCATTTTCATGTGGGAGAGACTGGCTTTTCAGCTTGATACTTCCTCCCTGCCCTACCCTCCCCATTCCACTCTTAGAGTAGGGTAGAACTAGGACCAGTGGGTGGAAATTACGAAAAAGTAAGATTCAGCTTGATATTGGAAAGAATTCTCTAGTGGCAGCATGTCCAAAGGTGGAATGGGTGCTTTGTCAGTGAGTTGTTCAGAGGCTGAATGAGCAGTTAGTGGGGCTACTAAAGAGAGAATTCACACATCTGATGGATCTAGGAGCTATGGCCTTAGTTGACCTCTAATGTCCCTTCTACCTTCAAGTTCTATTTTTTAGCAAAGTAACAAAAGTAATTGTACTGTTCTTCTCATTTAGAGAGCAACCTGAAGATGAATTCAAGCAGTCAAGTCCAAGAGATCTCCATCAACTCAAACACGGACATAGAGTGTAGCATCCTGTCCCAGTCCCCTGGAAACCTTCAGTTGGTCGTGACTTGGTATTTTTCTCCCATTTCCACTGATACACTCTGGCTGAAGATCCTGGAAGTGGACCAAAACCACGTAGTAAAATATGGGGATGAATTTCAGACCACACGGAGAAAACAAAAATTCCACGCTGAGAAAGTTTCCCGAGACTTGTTTCAGCTACACATTCTGAACGTGGAAGACAGCGATCAGGGCAAATACCGCTGTGCTGTGGATGAATGGCTCTGGTCTGCAAACAGCACTTGGCACAAGCTTGGAGGACAGACATCAGGTCTCACAGAACTGAAACTCCGGCCCACAGGTAAACCTTACAAGTGTGTTCTCTAGCATCTTTCTGTAGAATGACCCCCTTCTCTTGGACAGCTGTTCTATGGGCTGATAATATGCAGGTGAAAACATGACCTAGAGCCACAGGAATAGTGGCCACCAGAACAGTGACTGCAGGACGGAATAGCCCACCAGAGGAGGTGGGGGTCATTTCCAGTGAGTCAGCCTGAGATTTGGAGAAGCTTAGATGGGAACAAGATCCCTTTGAATGGTTGGCTTCTCAGCCTGGCAGCCTGGTCTAGGCAACCACCCAGGGTATCGTATCTCCAGCTCTCTATAATAACAAGCTGTGTCATTCCAGTGGGGCTATACTGTAATTTGGCAGAGAAAGAGTAATACAAAGCATATTTCTCCCACTGTGAACAGAAACTGTACAACTCTGTAGGGATATGTGGAGAGATTGCTTTTCAACATTCGGCTGCCTCAACATAAGGCAAATAAGAGTAGTTAACTGTTGGAATGGCTTACTGAGGGCATCTCCTCCCCCTTAGGAGATCTTTAAAAATGAAATAGAAGTTCCATTCATTTGCATTGGTCCAAGAGTGCCGTGGTCTAAATGTGGGCAGGGTTGATTAGATCTGTCAGCATTAGTTAGGTCACCTCCAATGTTGATTAAAATTAAATGAATGTCACATCTAAGGTTCGGGAACTGGCCGAGATCCAAAAGCACAATGCAAATAAGTTAATCTAGTTTGGCACTTAAAATTCTATTTTCAATGTAACATCAAAAAATAAGATTATAATGAACATTGCTTTGTGTTAGGCAATTAGGGATCCAAAGATAAATAAGGCAGAGTCTTAAGGAGCTCCCAGTCAGTTGGGAGCAGTAGGGGCAAAATAGTAGCTGAGTGCAAGGGTCTCTTCCTTCTGCTTTGGTCCCCTTCTCCATGCCCTTCAGGCCCTTCTTCCTCTCCCTGTTCAAGGTGAGTGTTCCTCAGGGACACATGAACCCACTTTTATTCTTACTCTCTGCTCCCTTCAGAACCTCTTAAATACTGCCTTGGTTCCAACTACCACCTTCGGTGAAACAAGCTCTAAGTTTTTATGCTTTGCCCCCACCTCCTGAACTCCAGGCCTTTCCACTCAACTGCCTGTTGCACATTTCTACTTGGCTGCCCCAGAGACCCCCACACTCCACTTGTTCCAAATCATCCTTGTGTCCCATATCATCATGATACTGTCTATCATCTTGGCCATCCCACAAGGCTTTCTGTTGTTGCTGCTCAGTCCCACAAGGCTTAGGTCCACTCAATCCTCCATCTGTGCGGCTGGCATCCCTTTCTCCAATTGTCCAAGCTGAATCTTGATAATGTGTGCCCACCCCTTTAAAAAGTGCACACCAAGGGACTTGCCTGGTGGTTCAGTGAATAAAACTTTGCCTTCCAATGCAGGGGGTGTGGGTTCCACCCCTGGTCAGGTAAATAAGATCCCATATGCCTCCTGGCTGAAAAACAAAAACATAATACAGAAGCAATATCATAACAAATTCAATAAACACTTTAAAAGTGGCCCACATCAAAAAAGTCTTGGAAAAAAAACAAATTGCACACCATTTCTTAGCTCGAGCCGGTGCTTCCTGTTCAGAAATGAGGGCCCAGTGGTGTCCAATCTTTTAGTCTATCAAGAAATGCCTGAACTCTTTTTTTTGGTGGCATCACCCATTTTGAGACTGTCCATAATGAATTCAAATTCTTTTAAAATACTGAAGATGTCAAATAAAACATAATTGTGGGCTGGGTGTGGCTGGCTGGGGGTAGCTAGCTGGTTACCCTGGTATAGGAAGTGAGAAAAAGAAGAAGCCCCAGGGAAAGACACGGAGAAGGATTGGTCAGAGCTGTAGGAGGGGGCGGGGATGTTTTCTCTGAAATCAAAGGAGGAGAGGATTTCGGAAGAAAATTGGTTTTGGTAACAAAAACTGCAGAGAGAACAGAAAATCCTGGAGGGTCTCTTGAGTTGGGAAATTGCACCTTTACTGGGAGGGAACCTTGGCCAGAGCATAGTGATGGGATTGGAAAGCCAATGGCAATAAGGTAGAGAATAATTTGAGTTGAGGAAGCAGAGACAGTACCATGGAAACTAATACTTCTCAGGCTTCTCTACAAAGAGGAGAGAGTAAAGATGTAACTAAAAGAGAATCTAGGAGCAGACACAGTTAATCTTTTAAAGATAGACCAATAAATATGTTTGTAGTAGAGCTGAAAATTTAGCACATACTCATTGAAAAAGGGGGCTTCCCAGGTGGCGCTAGTGGTAAAGAATCCACCTGCCAATGCAGCAGACATATGAGATGCAGGTTTGATCCCTGGGTCAGGAAAATCCTCTGGAGAAGGAAATGGCAACCCACTCTAGTATTCTTGCCTGGAGAATCCCATGGACAGAGAAGCCTGCTGGGTTACAGTCCATGGGGTCGCAAAAGAGTCAGACATGACTAAAGTGACTTAGCAAGCACGTTGGAAAAGACTCTGATGCTGGGAAAGATTGAAGGCAAAAAGAGAAGGGGGCAGCAGAGGATGAGATGGTTAGATAGTATCACAGACTCCGTGGACATGAATTTGAGCAAACTCCAAGAGATAGTGGAGGACAGAGGAGACGGGCATGCTATAGTCTGTGGGATCACAAAGAGTTGGACAACTTAGTGACTGAACAACAACAACATAATTTCTTTATTTTGTTTGTGACTACTCTAGCCTTCCTTCCAATTCCTCACCTGCTGGTTAACAGGGGAACATTTTAAAAAAGCAAATGTCAAAATCTGTTAAAAACTTAATCTAATCTAGTAATGTAAATAGTCTCCTTGAATAGTATTCTTTTAAAAAAAAAATATTTATTTGACTGTTGTATCTTAGTTGCAGCACACAAGATCTTTTGTTGTGACCTCAGTAGTTATAGCTCCTGGGCTTAGCTGCCCTGTGGTATGTGCGATATTAGTCCTCCCACAAGAGATTGAACCTGTGTCCCCTGCATTGCAAGATGAATTCTCAACCATTAGACCAGCAGGGAAGTCCTTTGAGTGATATTCTAACACATGTTTGAAAATGATCAGTCTCTCACCTAACCTCCTCTTTTCCTGTGTCTATACCTGAGGTTGCTATCTAGGTATATGGGAAGAGGTAATTTGCTAAGAAAAAGGAGTAGTGATGGAATACAGGACTTGAGGAGAGGACTGGAAGTTTCAAATGGCATTTCTAAGTAGCAGAAGGGAGAGTTGACCTGGGAGAAGTATTGATAAAAGCAGAAGGGCAGAGCTCCCCGCAAACCTGGGTGGTTTTCAGTGACAGGGCCAGTGGACGAGGCGGGCTGAAGAATGAAAGTGGCTGGTTTGATTCACAGCAGAGAACGTTCTGGCAAATATGGAAGATAGACAGGGGTCAAGGAAAAGTGTTAAAAATGAAGGACCAGATGTCTAGAGGTTATCAGACAGCATCACTTCAACGAGAAGTAGTTTTTTTCAGAGGAGGTGTCCAATCTGAAGTCTGGGTTCCTCTCAAATTTACTGCCATTTTGTTTCCTAGGAAGTAAAGTACGCGTCTCCAAAGTGTCCCGGACAGAAAATGCCTCCGAGCACAGTGAGGTGACCATCTGCTGCAGCCTGGAGGGAGCTGTCAGCGCTGCCTCCCTGATCTCTGTGATGTGGTACTTGCACAGAGATTCTAGAAGTAAGATGTTGGTGCACCTGCAGCATGATGGCTTGCTGGAATATGGTGAAGAGGGGCTCAGGCGGCGCTTGCACTCTTACCGCTCATCCGCTACTGACTTTGTCCTGGTGCTACATCGGGTGGAGATGGAAGACGCTGGAGAATACTGGTGCAAGGTGGCGGAGTGGCAGCTCCACGGCAACCCAAGCAAGTGGGCCAGCCAAGCATCAGATGAGTCACAGCCTGTGGTGCTCAGAGTGCTGCCTTCAGGTAACCAGAGGTTCATCGGCCACGGCTCGCAGTCAGGAGAATCTCTGTCTCTGCTCCTATGCTTTCCTGCCCTGCTATGTTTTGCTTCTTCTCAGGCTGAACACAATTTACAGAAAGAAAATGACTTCTCCATTTCTCTCAATAGTAACTCATTCAGACAGACAAGGTTACATGAGGTTTTGGCATGGACGTTTTAATGTCAAGGGCATCTGACCTCCTCCCCCACTTCCCCTCATAAACAAAAAAGCCATCAGTATTGTATCCCTTTAAGTAACCAAATAATGTTTGAAGTAGACAGCTTTATCTCTTAGCTGACACTCCAATCTCAGAATACTGACCGGCAGTGAGAGTGGGGTGAGGAATAGTGTGACATGGTGACTTTGTAACCTTGTTCAACCAAAATCAGCTACATCTAATGCTCCCTGAGTCAAAAACCAACCAAACAAAAAAAAAAGTCTTTCTCAATGAATAAGTGTCAAGCTTCTTACTGATGTGCTCAACAAACTACCACCTCTTTGATCATGATAGTCAGTGGGTTTGCCTCTCCTAACTGCACCTTAAAAGGCATCACAGGAGGATGTGTGCCCTTGTTTACACTTGTTTACAGGCTCTAGCAAAAATGCAGGTACTTGAAGACCATTGGCCACGATGGTCTTCTCTGTGTGGACGGTCAATCTATTCTGCTGAGCTTCAGAAGCCATGCAGAATAAGAGCTTGTAAAGGAGAAGAGGGGCTCCTTCCAGCCAGTGCAGTGACAAGCATATAACAGGCATTCATTAAACAAAAATTCCTCCAGCCAGACCAGTAAATCTTCCAAGGTGATCAATGAGTTGGTAGATGGATGTCGTAGCCTGCTCATCCTTCGAGCAACTTCTTTCTTGTGGGGTTTAAGGAGAAGGTGAGAGCTGAGCTATAGGTTGCACTTATAGCAAGAGAGGATCACTGGAGAGGCAGGGGTTTGGTCTTGGTGCCCCACGCCAGGAAGAGTAGAAAGGATCAATAAAGATGACCTCCTTACAGTGCCAGCTAGCTTTGGAGACAGTCCACAGGTGGGAAAGAGGGCTACTGAGAATGAATGGCACCGTCTCAGAGTAGTAATAGTGGCATCCCAGCCCCAGCAAGGCTTCTGGAGAGGAAATCACGGTTGAGTAACCTGTTCCCTGGAGTCCATCACTCTCTCCCCCTGAATCTTCTTCAGCAGGATTCTTCTCCCAAGTTTCCAGGCAGAATTGATTTTCCTATCAGCTTTTCTTCCATTCCAACAATTGTAGGAAGTCCACACCCTGAGCATATTCTGTATGTGTTTTCCAATGGAATTCCTGGGCTCTAGATTCAGCAGTTTGTGTAGTAGAATGAATAGATAATAACTGTAAAAAGCATATATTCTATGACTAAAAAGCACATCTCTCCTGAGACAGATGGGATTGTTCACAGCATTTGTGTGTGTGTGTGTGTGTGTGTGTGTACTGCTCATCTTTGTGAAAGTCTTAGAAAGCAGGTATAAGGTTTTTTTTTTTTTTTAATGAACTCTGGAAAGAAAGGGTTACAAATCAAATGGTCTTTGTATTCTTCACAAGTGAAGGTGCTTAGAAGCCTGTGCCATGAGAACATGAGGGTTTTCATTGTTAAGTATAGTTAGGTGTTCCCAAGTCAATCTTTATAATACAGCACCTCACTTCCTCTACTTGACTATTCCTTTCTGGTATTTAGGGAGACAGTGTGGGATAACAAAAATTCCAGCATTTGGAATAAAGAGAAGCCTAGGCTCAAACTGTTGCTCTGTCTACCTCCCTACTAGCTGTGAAGTCATCCCCTGGTTACTCAGCTTTCTCATAAAATGAGGGTCATAATACAAATGTATATGAAGTATCTAGCACAGTCCCTGGCACGTTGTAAGTGCTCAGCAAATGTTACCCCAGTTTCCCCTTGTGCCTCCAGACATGCTACACACACACACATCTACATTTGTATATATCTATTTGTGTGGCAAAATATTTTAATTTGTTCAATAAGTAACCATATGAGATTCTAAGGACACATAAAAAAATATATTATGAAGTCTGTTCCCACAGAGCTGAGGCTGGTAGGGGAAGGAGAGTCCAACATAACAGGAGTCATGAATGAAGTAGTCTCAGGATACTAAGGATGGAGCAAAAGCAGGGTTAGGTGGGGAGGAGATCTGGGAATGTTGCCAGAGTATGGGGCTATACAAAGGAAAGGAAAGCACATATTTTGGGAAAAGGAAAGGATATGCAAGATGATCAGAGAAACTGTGGTAGGATGGCAAGAGAAGAGGCTCAGGAGATGGAAAGGGTACTGATGTCAAGTGGGTCCTCTATACAGAGCCAAGAAAGGTGAGCTTTATCATGGAAGTTACAGAGTGTCATTGAACAAATTCAGGCAGGGTAGTGTCATGTCAGATTTGCATTTTAGAAAGCTCCCCCTGGGAGCAAGGTTAAAAGTGGATCGGAAGGGAGGCAGGCACAGAACCGGGAGAACTATTTGAAATTGACTGTAGGGGCACAGGTGAGACAAGATGCAGGCCCGAATGAAGTCAGTGCCCACGAGGACTGAGAGGACAGCACTCTGCATTCCATATTAGGAGATGGTGTTTTCAGGATTTAGAGACTGATTATGTGTATGTGGCTTCCCCAGTGGCCCAGCAGTAAAGAACGTGCCTGCAAAGCAGAAGATTCAGGAGATGCGGGTTTGATCCTGGGTTGGGAAGATCCCCTGGAGGAGGGCACGGCAACCCTCTCCGGTATTCTTACCTGGAGAATCCTGCAGACAGAGGAGCCTGACTGGCTATAGTGCGTGAGGTCACAAAGAGTTGGACATGACTGAAGTGACCGAGCACACATGCATATGTGTGTATGTAGAGGGTGAATGAGCAGAAGAGAATCAAGAATAAATACCAGGTTTCTGCTATAGTGGGGACAGTCACTGATGAAGTAATATAAGAAAAGGGTCTAAAGAGGAAGATTAGTTTAGTTTTGAATAAGTTGGGCTGGAATTGAGTTTGGAGTACCAGTGAGTTATCTAGGGAGATCTATCCAATAAACTTTGGAATTCCCAAGTCAGATCTCTGCCAGAGTTATAGATTAGAAATCATCAACTTATAGCCTATAATGATGCCCAAGAATGGACCCCTATGGACCACTATTTCTCAGGGGATTGCAGAAGAGAAGCCCGTGAAGGAGAATGGAAGGAGGAGCCAGAGATAGGAGAACTGGGGTTTGGTAGTATCACAGACACAAAAAGTGGCAAGAGTATCAAGAAGAAAGGGAGAGCCAACAGATTCAATTAGTGCAAAGAGATCAATTAAGACAAAAATAGGAAAATATCCATTGGGTTTGACAACATAGGACAATCACAGAAAAGTAGTAAAATCAGACTGCAGGGAGAAAGTGGACACATCAAATCCAGCTCATGCTTTTAAGAGTTTGTGTGTGTGTGTGTGTGTGTGTGGCTGCACTGGGTCTTCATTGCCGTTTATGGGCTTTCTCTAGTTGTGGTGCAAGGACTTCTTGTTGCAGTGTATGGACTTAGTTGCGCTACAGCATGTGGGATCTTTGTAAGGCATAGTTCGGGCGAGCCAGAAAAGGAAAGACGACCTCAACAGAAGTAGGTTACCTTTATTCAGGCAAAGAGGGGCGACAGTCGGCCTAACGAACAGGCTGAGCGCCGAGAGGGATCAGGGAGGCTTCATACTTATAGGGAGATTTGTGGAAGTGATAAGGCAAACGTTAATCAGGCGGGATATTTTGAGTATTCTTTTGTTGAGATGACATTTGTAGTTGGGCAGGGGGTGATAAGTCTTCTGGGCGGGTGTAGGGGGTGGAAGGTTTCTGGACAGGGGATGATAAGTCCCAGATAGATGCAACCAGCCTGGAGCATCAGGGTGGAACTAAAGTTCTGTTTTGTTTTCTCCGAAGTTAGATGATTCAGCAAGGGGCCTTTGAGACTATTGTTCTCTTTTCTAGGCCCAAAAGACTCCTTCAATCTTAGTTCCCCAACTAGGGACCAAACTCATGTCCCCTGCATTGGAAGGTAGGTTCTTAACCATGGGACCACCAGGAAAGTCCTTCAAGAGCTTGGATGTAAAAGGAGAGAAGACAAGAACAAAAGGCAAGAGGTTCACTGAAGCTTTGCTTTGTTCTGTTTTGGTTTGAAGTTAGTAGGGACTTGAGCACGTTTATATTCTAGAAAGAAAAGAGCCATTGGAGAATCAGAATAGGAAGGTTAGAAGAGAGTGGATAAGACTGACAGTCCAACATCTTAAATGAATTTATACCACCTCCTGATTGGAATTCTCCTTCATGTTATCTGTCCCTGGTCAACACCCACTAATCCTTCACCAACCAACTTAACTGCCTCATTCTCAGTGACTTACTTTTGTCTCTTAGGCATCACACTTATTTAGCATCCATCATCAGGGCCAGACAATACCTTTTGGGAAGGCAAAGACTGAGTGTCTTGTTCTCAGCCCCAGCACAGTGCCTGGCACACAGATCATGTTCAAATACACTTACTGAATCAGTATAGCTGCCCTCCTGGTCAGGACCAGCTCTGTATATTAATAAAGTTCAGGTCAGATACAATAGGCTACCAGTTCTCACTTCTCAAATGGTTTTCTACCATCTCTGTTTATCATTTCTGGGTTGGGTTAGTTTGGGGCTACTTAATAAAACTATGAAGCATGCGATTCCTATGAAGGCAGAAAATGGAGAGGTGTTTCCCTGGTGGATCTCACCTTGCGTTTTCCTCTCCATCTTACTTCCTTATCTATGACTAAGCCAACGCGGGGGCTAGCAACTACCTGAGTCGTTTTGTATCTCATGCTAGAGAATTCTCTGATTAATTAATAGGCAAGGTTATAAGGCTTTCTGGGTGCTGGATTATTTGTAGCAGTATGGTGTTTATTACTATTTCCCAGCTTTTGGGTGGTAAGGATATATTTAGAAAGTGACTCCTCATAGGAGACTTGAGCCCCTATCACACTGACGTTTCTGGAGAGGACGTGTCATTTATCAATGCTACCCTGGTGCTTTCAACAAGGCCTGGCACACAGCGCTCAGTTCAACAAATGCTTGATGAAAGAATGGGCAAGTGAGTCTTAATGGAGTTGAAACCAGTGCTGTCAGGGGCTCACTTATTCTGGGATGCACTTGTATCACGTTACCTAACCTTGCCTTAGTTCTTGGCAGGAGCCATCTCTCTCACATGGCCACACCTGGCATGTCAGTTGCCCAAGGGTGGTTTGGGGTTGAGGGGGAGTTGATAGACCCCTCATTATCCTCTACCTTTCTTCTCCAAAGTCTGTATGCATGTTTGCATGCTAAGTTGCTTCAGTTGTGTCTGACTCTTTGCAACGTTATGGACTGTAGCCCGCCAGGCTCCTCTGTCCTTGGGATTCTCCAGACAATAATACTAGAGTGGGTTGCCATGCCCTCCTCCAAGGGATCTTCCCAACCCAGGGATAGAACCTGCATCTCTTACATCTCCTGCATTGGCTGGCTGGTTCTTTACCGCTAGCCCACTGGGGAAGCCCAAAAATCAGTATATCTGGGGTAGTATCAGACAAGAACGCTCCTCATGATGTGCTTGGCTGCAAGGTAGAAGCAAGTTACAAACTAAACCTTGTGATGAAGCATTCTCATCACACTTTTGGCTCTGCCTTAGAGGCCTTGTGCTTGGAGCACAGGGCACTTACTTGGATTGCTTCAAAATGCCAAACCTTAATGGTTTTGAATGTCACTGATGTTCATCCACAGATGGGTGAGAGGCAGATGGTGGGAACAGTGACTGCGGGACCCAGGGCAAGTGCTACCCTCCCAGGAGAGGTCATTTAGAGGCACTGGAGCTGACAGCTTCTAGCTGTGGGCCAATTCAGCACTGTGAGGGGTCTGTTTTGTCGTCCTTGGATGACAGGTTGCTCGAAGTCAAGCAGTCTCCTCCCCATTTATATAGTCAGGCCCTCTGGCAGTCCCTTCATGCTGAAGGTTAGAGTCTCAGTGGCAGAAAAATCCAAGAGCCAAGTTTCTTTCCACCTTCTCTATGCCGGCCCTGTCTCCCCATCAGCATGCCACCATCCTAGCAACAGTGACACGTGGGTGCCGTGGGACTCTCCCCAATTCTCTGCTTCCCATGATTGGAAAAGGAAGCCAGAGTCTCACAAGGAATCATCTGACTCTCAACTGAATGTCTTCCTACCCTGGGGACAGAGAGATCAGAGATTTAAGGGAGAACCTTGGGCTGTGGAAAGACAGAGTCAAGCCTGCAGCCCTCTTTTCTGCCTGGTCTCTTGGGGAAAATTTGCTTGTGATTTTCCTAACTTTGTTAGCAGCTTTCTAGCTGATATTTATTCTTTGTTGATTCAACAAATGTGCCAAGCACTGTTTAATGCTTTACTCAGCCTTATCTCATTATAACTCTGGAAATTATTATCCTCATTTGATCGACAAGATTAGATTTCTGATGATTAGAAAGAGAGGATAAGTAACTTGTCCAAAGTCAATAATGGTAAGTTGTAGAGCCATGATTTGAACCCAGCTATCTTTGAGACAAAGTAGATACTCAATCCCTACTCCCTACATGAGTAGTGTGAAGTAGCAAGGCCAGAACTCTTGCTCACTGGTCTCTATAGCACCATTCTTTTTTAACATTGCACTCTGTACCTTCTTAACTATATGCTTTCAGATGTATTCAGATAAGACCTAGGAGAATTATTATCGGAGGGCCTTGGAGAGACCGGTCAGGAACGATGTGGAAAGGAGTGAGAAAGAATTCAAAATCTAGCTTTATCATTGCCCACCCTTTCAAAAACAAAAGCCAGATTTAGGGTGGAGAATATAAATGAGGCCAGAGAAAAGCCAGGGAACAAACCCTTGTAGCTCCTTGCCAGCCCTGTTCAAAGCTGCCAGCCTTATGTTCAGTGATGATCTGTACTCTGGGGAACATCATCGCAGTGACTCCTGAGTTCCTGTGTGTGCAAATCACTCATGCAATTGTCTCATTCTTTAATCTCCACTGATGACCTGTGAACAAAGTGCTACCCGGGAGGAAAAAATGCATAAGACATGGGCCTCCTCCAGAAGTTTATAAATGCAGGAGCTGTACCTAGGTTTAGATTCTTTCTTGACTTCCCACAAAGAGACATTCTTCAAGGTACAAAATGTATTAACAATGCCAAAAATGGAATTCTTGCAGCATGATGTTGGTCACAAGGACATGTCACAAGAACCTGTTGTCTTCATCTCTAGGCATCTGTAATCCCATGAATCCTATAGTTTTACCTCTGAAGAAGAAAGTGCTTAGGTCATTGCAATTTTCCAATAAAAGCACAGCTACCATTAACATCAGATTTTTCAGAACAGCCCTGATTTTGAATATCCTGTGGTAAATAAACGTAGTTAGAAGATTGCATTTAATAGTTGGTGTCTCTTTAAGCGTGTGTCTATCTGCATTGAGAGACGAAATCCCCGTCCTTTGACTAGTAACTCAGGGCACTGCTTCCCAGAGCCTGTGGTGTTGGCAGTCCGCTCGCCTTTGCTTTCTTGGTTGCAGGGCCAGGAACCCCTTGGGGCTGCTGGTGCGTGCTCTGAGTGTCTGTGTGCTGATAGCACTTCCCCGTGGGCTGCAGCTGCCAGATGCTTCAACCTGCCTTTATATAGTAGCCTTTGCCCATGAGGTTGCAGGCAAGCCAGTTTAATTCAGATCAGTAAGCATTATCAAGGCACATGTGCTAGGCACTGCAGGGGCTATGGGAACAAAGGATACTGTGAGACCTGCTGGAGTAACTGTGATGACAAAGACGGTTAAAAGGGAATGGAAGAAGTCTAAACAAAGGTATGTGTGAGAAGAGCATAGAAAGAAGAGAAAAACTGTGCCTGAGGCAAGGTGGGAAGGCCAATGTGATGGAGAGTGAGGCCGGCAGGACCCAGAGGCTATAGGATATGATAGATGAGGATGTGATAGGGGAGCAGAGCGCTTACCAGATAGAGGCAACAGTAAGAAGGAGAGGCGAAGGAGCTGAATGGGGTTGAGGTGGGGGGTGCCAGGGCATGAGAGACCAATTTGGAGATTCAGGAAGGGATGGTGCTTCTCACTTGTGGGCGCTCTTGTTAAGTTAGACTTCCCTGGTGGCTCAGATGGTAAAGCGTCTGCCTACAGTGCGGGAGACCCGGGTTCAATCCCTGGGTGGGGAAGATCCTCTGGAGAAGGAAATGGCAACCCACACCAGTACCCTTGCTTGGAAAATCCCACGGGAGGATCCTGGTAGGCCACAGTCCATGGGGTTGCAAAGAGTCGGACACAACTGAGCGACTTTACTTACTTACTTGTTATATAAGGGCAGTGTAGAATGTGTGTGTGTGTGTGCGCCTGTGTGTGTGTTTCAGAAGCAGCAGTGGGAATAACTCAGTTAAAAATTCAGGATTGCCAACAGAGTTGGGAACGAGGGTTGAATTATAGATATCTTTTCTGAGGAAAGAAGATTAAAGGAGAGGTTTTCTTTTTTGTTTTGTTTTCATTTCTGGCTGTTAGTTTTAAGTAGGTCATCGGAACCTCTGGTGGTTGGAAATTGCTGGGTGAGGGGGAGTCGGGCTGGCAGAAGCCGCCCTAGAGTCCTCTTCTCCCAACTCCCTTTCCTTGGCTCCTCGAGTGTGATTTAAGGGGCCCCCTGCTATCTGGCCCCGTTATTTTTACATATATTTTCCTGTAACAATAAATCCCAGAAGTGTTTATAATTGATGAGTACAAATAAGCTGGAGACTAATGATTCTCTTTATTTTTTTCCTTTTTTGGTACAGAGCCCAACTTTCCTTCCAGGATCTGCTCGTCAGCACCTTTAGTCTATTTCCTATTCATCTGCCCCTTCGTCATACTCGTCTTTCTGCTCATGTCCCTCCTCTGCCTGTACTGGAAGGCCAAGAAGTTGTCAGCTCTGAGTCTAAGCATGCAGAAAGAACAGAGCCTCTGGGTGAACTTGAAAGGAGCTGGAGGCAGGACCACAAACAGGATGGGAGACTATGGTGAAGACAGTTGAATCCTGAGTAGTGCCCACAAAGAGGAAAGACTTTGGAACTGGACTGCCCGGGATAGGCGCGCCCCCTGGTTCTGTCCTTCTCTGAGTCTGTGGCCTGGGGTAAAGTACCTAGGACTCAGAGGGAACATGTATTGAGCGTGTTTGTGGTTCCAGAAACGGTTAAGTGTTTCTTAGTATTTTATCTAATCACTCCCTTGCATCCCCCCCAGGAGCTAGGTGGCACTAACCTGGTCTTACATTTGCCACACCTCCCAAGGCTTAGGCTCCTCATCTGGAAGACCTGTAAGGAGAAGAGCACCTCCCTCACTCAGCTGCTGGGGGTTAAGTGAGATCCCATGACAGACTCCAGGGCCATGCTTCTTTCGCCTTGCTCTCTTAGGTCACTGATTCTCTGGAGAACACTTGGCGGTCCAGCCACCCTGGCTCTAGGTAATCTTTGCCTCCAGATCAGAGGCTGATGCCAGCAAGGCAAGAGAAGTTGGGAATGTGCCCTTCATTCAGATCAAATGTGCCTCCCAACCAGACTGTGACAGCCTTGAAGACAGAAATCCCATCTTCTCCTCCACCCCATCTCCATCCCTTCTCTAAAAGCTGCTTACAAGCAAGCTTGGCATAGTAGGTTCTTAATCAGTATGGGTTCCTTAATGAAAGGATAAAGTATTTTGTAGCCTTTCTTTCTTCTTTTTTCTCCATAAGACTTAGTAACTCATTGGTAAGAAAAAATTAAAAAAAAAAATTTTTTTTTTTGCAACAGTGCTCTAGTCAGCTCCCCAAGGCCTCATATCTCCCTCATATCCTCCCACACCCAAAGGTCCATCTGGCTCCTGGCTCTTCTTAGCCAAAGGCCTTATTTTCCTTGACCTGACAGCACTGATCAGCAGGAAAAGGGGCTGTGGTAGTTATGTGAGGGCAGAGGGTTAACAGGGCCTCTCTCCTGCCCTGCTCTGGCAGGGACTAGGAGCTCCGGGGGAGCAGAGGGTCAGACTGGCTCCTCTGTGTCCTCTCTTCTCAGCCAGGAAAAGTCAGGGGCTGGGGGTGGGGTGTCATGCCTGATGACTTTCAACCACCATCCCCTAAGAGATATCAACTGTCCCCACTGAGCCTGAGGTCCCCTCACCCTTGTTTCAAAAGCTGTGCAGGCCCTGTTGTAGCCAGAATTGGAAATCAATCAGTGCCACCTAACAGACTTGAGAAAACACGTCTATTTATTAGCTATGTGACCAACAGGGTTGCTCTAACACTCATTAATTTGGATTTCCAAGGAGGGCAATTTATTTTTAATTATTTTATCAGGCACACACGTCTTCTCCAAACATAATTAGTTCCTTTGCAAGGGGGTTATTGGTGACTATGAGAACTCCCACTGCAGACCTACAGGTTCCTTGAATTCATCTTCCTTTGTAGCCCTATTTGAAATATTCCAAATGTTTTCTTAAACAGGTTAGTGCATTTATTTCTTCTTTCTCAGGTAAAGGGAACAAAGTTTTGCAAAAACAAGGCTAATGTTAAGATATCTTAGAAAGTGTGATGCCTTCCGTACCCCCACCATTTTCCCCAGAAACCTTTATTTTAAATGGATATTGAAGGAAAAGAGTGGAATGGAGCTCCATCAGAGAATCAGAGTAGATTCTAGAGCTGCCCCTGCCCAGGTACCCTTTCCCCCAAACACTGTTCTCCCTCATTACCTGGATACTGCCTTTCAGCTCTCAGCTCAAACAGCAGTTCTTCACATTTGAATTCAGCACAGAGATTGCACAGAACAGACACTCAGATATGCAACTGTTCCACCTGGAGCAGATTTATTGTCCAGTGAGCACTTCCTGGGTTGCAAAGGTTGCTATTGTGACTTGGGCAGACATAGCCCCGTTCCCCTGGGATGATCACCTTGCTTTGTTCTGGACGCTCTGCTTTCCTTAATGGAGGCTGGAGCACGTTAGATTTTCTAAGGAAGTCACATCACGCTGTTTGGCCCACAGTAGTTTTCTGGCAGCTAAAACCTGTGTGTCTTCTTTGTACCTTTCTGAACTTTTTTAGAATAAAATTTGTTTTTATCCAATTCAGTAGGCATTTTATATGGAATCTCTCTGATTATGGGCTTGTTCTCTTTAGTTTTTTAGACTTCACAGAGATCTTTACTTTTACTCAGTGACTTCAACTATTTCCTGTCACCACTTTCGGCTTCTTGTGTCAGTAAGTCCTCCGTGGCAACAGGACAAACCTCTGCCTCAGGAGTTGGCTACCTGTAGCCCACAGGCCAAAAACAGACCCACCACCTGTTTTTTTAAATGCAATTTGTTGGAATACAGACACTCTCATTTGCCTACATATTATCTATGGCTGCTGATATGATATAATGGCTGAATAAAGTAGTTGCCACAGTAACCTAAAATGTTTATTCTCTGACCCTTCATGGAAAAAACTGGCCACTCCCTGCTCTCTTTCAGTAGCTTATGTTTTATCTTAGCCATGTATTATGTTTCTAGGAAGCTCGATTTGAGCAGTTGTATCTGTCTCTGTTATACAGCTGATGACTTTAATAAATAATTTTAGGCTCTCTGGATTGGTGTCTAGTCCAAGTAGTTCTGAAGCATGAATCCTTTCCTGCACGTTCCCACTGAAGATGAGAAGCACATCACCCTGAGGGACCCCACACCGTCCTAAGTTGCAGGGTGAGAAGACGCAGAGAGGAATAAGGCATGAATACATTCCTTTTAGTATTTTCAGTCTCTGGAGACATGTATGGAAACAACTGACTTATGGCAGAAAGTGAATACCATAGGTAGAAAATCATGTGCCATGATCATTTCTCACAATTGCACAAGAGTTGTTCATCATCTCAGAGCATCCCCATGTGAAATGAATTGTTACTCTTCTCCTGCCGGTAAGAAATTAAAGCTCAGGATCACCCAGTCATATGTAGAAGAGAAAGGGCTCAATATTAGGCCCGCTGACAGTAAATCTAGACTCTTTCCACAACCAATACTGTGCTCAAATCCACTAATATCAGAAAAATCTGGTGATAATTGTATCCACTTCATCTGGCTGTTATGAGGTGATCAAATCAGATACTTACGTGAAGATAAGTTTTAAACCATTTCAAGTCATAAGCGAACATCTGCATAACCCAAGTTTTTCCTTGTCTGTGCACATAAATGAAATTGAATCAACACTAATAATCCAAATTCTACAGACTTGTGCCCCAGGTTTACACAGAGTCTTGTATGTGTGTGTGTGTTAGTCGCTCAGCCGAGTCCGACTCCTTGTGACCCCATGAACTATAGCCGGCCAGGCTTCTCTGCCCATGGAATTCTCCAGGCATGAATACTGGAGTGGGTTGCCATTCCCTTCTCCAGAGGATCTTCCCGACCCAGGGATTGAACTCTGGTCTCCTGCATCGCAGGCAGATTCTTTACCATTTGAGCTGCAGGGATGTCCTTACAGAGTCTTGGCCATCTATAAAGCACTCTTAAAGCATTTCTGAGGCTTCCATCAGATTCTGGGAGTTCAGGTGAATTCACAGACAAGTCCCTTCCCAGAGGACTTCCCACTGCTCTGATCAGATCTGTGGGCTCCCCCTGCAATGCTGGAGCCCATGAGATGCTAAAGCTGGACTCTAAGACTGGGAGAGTGGCCAACATCATTCTGTCTTTGCATGACACTCTGCTTTGATTGCAAACAGATTCAAGGTTGCTTGAGCCCCCATATCTCTAAGGATTCTCTTGTGAACCCTGCTCCCTTGGCGTTGACTCATCGTCTCCTTTTTCTCTATAGGGCCCAAACGCTGGCCAATCTGGAGCCAATATGGGAGACAAACCTCACACTATGCTCTCCACTTCGCATTCTCAGCTCCCAGGAACCCCTGAGACGTCTCCATCCCAGGCCCCCTTTCTCCTGCAGGTGCGTCATGCAGATTGTGCTTGTGGAAGGCTCCCCACTCATCAGACAAGTCTGGAGAAATTGATATTCCTGGTAGGCTTGGTTCAGACTTCTCTCATGCTAGCTTTCAATTTTTACCTCCCCCTCAATGCAGTCAAGTGCTGTGGGCAATGACAAACCAGAGACAATTTCACAAAAGAGGTGTCATTTAAACTTTCAAAATGTCAGGAAATATTTTGATAGAAGTTGGAGTAAAGAGTAGTCTGAGGGCAGAGATAGTTCCATGTAGAGCACAATGTATAGAATATCTTTGGTTTGATTTTAAGGGTCAGATTTATGAAGGGGAGAAATGAGAAATTAACATGGAAATGTAACAAACTCTAACTAGGGGTGGGGAGGGGCAGGAAAGAGATCGCAAACATGGGTAAGAACTTGGACCTTAAACTGGAAGATTCGGATTGACACACACTCTACTATATATAAAATAGGTAACTAATAAGAAGGACTTCCCTGGTAGCTCAGTGGTAAAGAATCCACCTGACAATGCAGGAGACCTTGGTTCAATCCCTGGATGGGGGACGATCCCCTGGAGAAGGAAATGGCAACCCACTCCAGTATTCTTGCCTGGGAAACCCCATGGACAGAGGAATCTGGTGGGCTACACAGTCCATGGGATTGCAGAAGAGTGAGACACAATTCAGCAACTAAATAACAACAACAACTAATAAGGACCTTCTATATGGCACAAGGGGCTTCCCAGGTGGCGCTAACGGTGAAGAACCTGCCTGTCAATGCAGGAGACATAGGGCATGAGGGTTCGATCCCTGGTTTGGGAAGATGCCCTGGAGGAGGGCATGGCAACCCACTCAAGTATTTTTTTTTTAACACTCTCATATTATTTATTAACAGAACAATATAACATAGCCTCTAAGAGAAAATACATTACAGCCCATATTTTAATGTTGTCTAGAGGTATCACCAAAAAATTCCAGCAATCACTGACCTCCAATTATTTTCAGAAAAAGTGATCACTAAAAATTGTAGTGTATGTGTGGGGAATCTCTAGTGCCACAGAAACCAAACCTGTACACTAACAAATCACAACAAAAGTAATAGAATGAGGCATTTTGATTTATTACTCAAAAATGGTTCATTTTTTATTTAGCTTTCTGACTCTGTGCTTGTGCTTTCAATACTTTCACAACGATCTTCTGCACTTCACTAAGGAAAGCACGCTTGATCCTGTCGCGGACACATTTAGCACACATGGAACCACCATAGGCTCGGCTGACGTGTTTCTTCGTTTTAGACAACCTCATGAGAACTTTAGGTCTCACAGCACGAACGCCTCTAAGTCGGCCTGGGCACACACCACATGCGGATTTTGGTGCTTTCCCAACCTTCTTGGTGTAAAGGTAAACAATTCTATTACCAGGGGTTCGGGACAGCCTGGTTTTGTTGGAGGCTGTATTGTAGGACAGCCTACGGCGGTACGTCAGACGCTGCACCATCCTGAATGCCTCTAGATGCCGTCCCTGGAAGAGCCACTCAAGTATTCTTGCCTGGAGAATCCCATGGACAGAGGAGCCTGGTGGGCTATAGTCCATAGGGTCACAAAGGAGTTAGACAGAACTGAAGCGACTTAGCACACACGCACATAAAGCACAAGAAACTCTACTTAATACTCTGCAATGGCTTACATGGGAAAAGAATCTTAAAAAGAGTGGATATATGTATATGTATAACTGATTCATTTTGCCGTACACCTGAAATTAACACAAATTGTAAACCAACTATACTCCAATGACTTTTTTTAAAAAAGAACTTGGACCTTATTTGGTGGACAGGGTGGGTCATTTGGGTGTTATTTAGTAGGGAAAGAACAGTTGTCCTTTAGGAGGACTGAAAAAGCAACAGCTTAATGGAGACGCAGACATAGAGAACAGATTTGTGGACCAGAAGGCGACGGGAGGGAGGGGGAAGGAGAGGATAGGATGAGTGGAGAGAGTGACGTGGAAACATATACACCACCACATGTAAAATAGATAGCCAGTATGTATGACTGGCTGCATGACTCAAACTGGTACCCTGTGGCTCCCTAAAGGGTGGGATGGAGCGAGAGGTGGGAGGGAGGTTTAAGAGGGACGGGACGTACATATACCTAGGGCTGATTCACGCTGATGTATGGCAGAAACCAACACAATATTGTAAGCAATTATCCTTCAATTAAAAATAAATAAACTCAAAAAAAAGCAGCAGCTTGGGTGATGGAGAGGGTTTGGGGTGAGGGCGGTGGTTGTACCATGGTAAAGCAAGGTAGCCATCCTCAGCACACTATCTCTGCTTTTCCAAGTTATATAATGAAGATAATACCAATTTTGTGAAGGTTTTGATAACTGAACAAAATTATCAGAAAGTTTCAACTATTCTATCAAGCTCATAGGGGTAGCTAATATGTATGCCTAGTCACTCAGTCTTGTCCAGCTCTTTGCAACTTCATGGACTTTCACCCAGCAGGCTCCTCTGCCCATGGGATTTCTCTAGGCAAGACTACTGGAGTGGGTTGCCACTTCCTCTTCCAGGGGATCTTCCTGACCCAGGGATTGAACCCATGGCTCCAACATTGGCAGGCAGATTTTTTTCTTAACACTGAGCCACCTGGGAAGTGTTTAGTAAATATTTGCTAACGAAATTTCCTACTGATAAGTGTGGGGACAAGGGAGAGTTACATTGTTCATTATCTTAACTGGTTTTCTATTTACTTTATCTTTTGATACTTGATTTTACATTTAATTTACTTGTTAGAAATTTGGAGTTCCTACCATGTCATCTTTGAATCCAAGTCTCCTTCTGCCCCTCATTCTGCAGCTCTGACTACCGGATAAAGATGTTTTGACTAGAAGCATATGTATCACATTAAGCCACTTGCTAAGATGGAGGACCACATTGGATAAGGAATTATTAATAAGTTCATAAGTTATAAATAACCCTCAAATGAAAACCCAAATTCATTACATCAAGATGGCTAAAATTGAAAAGACTGATAGTATCAAATGCTCGTAAGAGATGGGCTTCCCTGCTGGCCCAGTGCTTAAGATTCCACACTTCCAATGCAGGGGGTACAGATTCTATCCCTGGTCGGGGAACTAGGATCCCACATGCCACACAGTGTGGTAAAAAAAAATTGAAAAAAGAGAAAATGCTCATGTAAGAATTTGGAGGAATTGGAATTCAATACATTGCTGAGGAGAGTATAAGTCTGTTCAACTATTTTTTAATATAATTTGGCAGTTTCTAATAAAAGTAAACATACAATGACCCTATGACTTAGTAATTCCATTCCTTGCATTTACCCAAAAGAAATGAATGCCTACATGCACCAAAAGATGTACACAACTATATTTATAGCTTTATTCATCATTATTAAAAACTGGAAACAAATCCATTGTCCATTATTAGATGAGTGGATTAATTACAGTTTACATAAACCACAGAATGCTGCAGAGTGGAAAAAATGAACAAACTACTGATGTACATGACAATATGGATGAATCTCACAGCACTGTTGAATGAAGGAATCCAGACACAGCAGGGTACATAGTCTAAGAATGAGCAAAATGAATCTACAGTGACAAAAGTCAGAATAATGATTTTCCCTAGCAAGGGGAGCCTTGACTACAAATAGCATGAAGGAAACTTCTGAAGCAACTGAATTGCTTTTTATTATCTTTATCTGGGTGGTGGTTCCATGATTGTATGCCTATGTGAAAATTCACTTAAGAATGAGTCCTTTTCAAGAATATACAATGGAAAAAAGACAACCTCTTTAACAAGTGGTGCTGGGAAAACTGGTCAACCACTTGTAAAAGAAAGAAACTAGAACACTTTCTAACACCATACACAAAAATAAACTCAAAATGGATTAAAGATCTAAATGTAAGAACAGAAACTATAAAACTCCTAGAGGAGAACATAGGCAAAACACTCTCCGACATAAATCACAGAAGGATCCTCTATGACCCACCTCCCAGAATATTGGAAATAAAAGCAAAAATAAACAAATGGGACCTAATTAAACTTAAAAGCTTTTGCACAACAAAGGAAACTATAAGCAAGGTGAAAAGACAGCCCTCAGATTGGGAGAAAATAATAGCAAACGAAGCAACAGACAAAGGATTAATCTCAAAAATATACAAGCAACTCCTGCAGCTCAATTCCAGAAAAATAAATGACCCAATCAAAAAATGGGCCAAAGAACTAAACAGACATTTCTCCAAAGAAGACATACAGATGGCTAACACACACATGAAAAGATGCTCAACATCACTCATTATCAGAGAATTGCAAATCAAAACCACAATGAAGGTACCATTACACGCCAGTCAGGATGGCTGCTATCCAAAAATCTACAAGCAATAAATGTTGGAGAGGGTGTGGAGAAAAGGGAACCCTCTTACACTGTTGGTGGGAATGCAAACTAGTATAGCCGCTATGGAGAACAGTGTGGAGATTTCTTAAAAAACTGGAATTAGAACTGCCATATGACCCAGCAATCCCACTTCTGGGCATACACACTGAGGAAACCAGATCTGAAAGAGACATGTGCACCCCAATGTTCATCGCAGCACTGTTTATAATAGCCAGGACATGGAAGCAACCTAGATGTCCATCAGCAGACGAATGGATAAGAAAGCTGTGGTACATATACACCATGGAATATTACTCAGCCATTAAAAAGAATTCATTTGAATCAGTTCTAATGAGATGGATGAAACTGGAGCCCATTATACAGAGTGAAGTAAGCCAGAAAGATAAAGACCAATACAGTATACTAACACATATATATGGAATTTAAAAAGATGGTAACGATAACCCTATATGCAAAACAGAAAAAGAGACACAGATGTACAGAACAGACATTTGGACTCTGGGAGAAGGCGAGGGTGGGATGTTTCAAGAGAACAGCATCGAAACATGCATATTATTTAGGGTGAAACAGACCACCAGCCCAGGCTGGATGCATGAGACAAGTGCTCGGGGCTGGAGCACTGGGAAGACCCAGAGGGATGGGGTGGGGAGGGAGGTGGGAGGGGGGACCAGGATGGGGAATACATGTAAATCCATGGCTGATTCATGTCAATGTATGACAAAAACCACTACAATATTGTAAAGTAATTAGACTCCAACTAATAAAAATAAATGGAAAAAAAAAGAATGAGTCCTCTTAAGATTGAGTACTTTATTGTATGTAAATAACTGAACTTAATACTAATAATACTAATACATAACTTAACAGATAGCTTATATGTAAATAACCTAAACCTGAGTTTTAAAAAAAACTTCTTTCTCTTTCAAAAAGCATTTAAGAATTAACTAGATGACCAGCATATAGAGAGGTATAACATATGAGAGAAATGAGACACACATTTTACAAGCACCTTTTGATGTCTAACATAAGCCAAGACATACACTAGGAGCCAGGCATGCAGAAATAACTGACATCATCCATTTCCTCAAAGAGGAAAGAAAGGGGTTCATGAGTGATGATGACTGAATCTTTACGACAAACTTGCAAAGAAATGGAGATTAAACCACAAACCAGGAGAAAGCAGTTAAACATTATGCCTAAGGTCACCAGGCGTTAAGGGGCAGAGCACGAGCATGGCCTCCAGAAACGATGCTCTGTCACAGCATGCTTCCTCTAGCTGTGCAGATTCCACCGTCTGGTCACCAGCGAAGATCTATGTTTACAAGGTAGTGAGAGGATGGTTGGGACAGAAAACAATGCCATGTGCTTTTTTGCCACTTGCTGTCTGGGGCCAGTTAGCTCTACAAAGGGGAGATGAATTTGGACTGGGGAAGCAGGGGATCCCATTGCCCTCTTTGCCCTGGTTCCCACGGATCTCCATTCAGCTCACTGCATGTTGATTAAATGGCTACTCTGTGCTGCCTGAAGATACTGTTCAAATAGACACACGAGAGCATGTTTTGTTACAGTCTCCATGACTGAAGGCAGATGCTATGAGTTCTTAAGTCTGTCTTAAGGGAATCTTTGTATTGTTTAATGGTCTGTCCAACAACAGCTATTTGTATCACACTGCTAGCAGCAGGAAATTGTTTGAAGATTCTTCTGTTCTCAATATCCAAGATAGAATCAGCCCAATAAAAGGATCCAAGTGTTAGGGTTCCCTTTGTTTCCCATGTGTGGGCCAAATATCTTCTAGCCTTAAAATTGGCAAATGAGGATGCTTGTGTAAAAAGCATCACTATGGAAGCAAAAAATTGAGCAGCGTTACAGGAGTCTGAAGTGCCTGTGGGCTGGCCTTTAGCGTCCATACTGAATGAGGGTTACTGGCTCTGTCTAACATCAGCTCCTAACACACATGTCTAAACTCTTCACTTGAAACAAGTGAAATTTTTTTAGATTTTATTTCTATTTTAAAATTTATATTGAAATATAGTTGATTTACAATGTTGTATTAATTTCTGCTATACAGGAAAATGATTCTGT